ATCATGTAAAATGAGCTCCGTTCTGACTGGCTGCCCTCCACTGTGCCTCGTTTAAGAAGAACTCCAGCCTGAAATGCTCCTTATAACTTCAGGCGGAGCCAAGCTGCTGTGGGCTGAATAGAAGGATTTATGTAAATGTGATTGAGTGACATCACAAAAACAAGGAGTTCAAAACGGGCAGTTTTTGCAACGTAGCTGGCATATATGGACTGTATGAACTGTAGAGTGTATGGAAATTTTACTGTTTTCCACAATATGGGCCCTTTAAAGTAGGATTAAAACACATTTAATTGTAAAAGCCTATTCAGTGTTTATTTATAATGATGACTGAGCTAAACCAGGCACAGTCCAGCCTGCAGTCATTTAGATATAGATATATATACAGAGTGTAGAGGCTCTAAACTTTAAAGCAGATGCTGATTCTCACTCCCTCCCCCTGTGGAAGCCAACAAGAATTCCACTAACCCTCATTAACAGCTTAGGATTAACCCCACACAGCCGTTTCGCTAAACGTTTTGCATTTAGGTTAATGATTGTGGATGCTGGGGTGACTCCGCAACATAGAGGTCCGACAGAGGTGGGCGATACGACGATGTTTTACTATTATTGTGATAAATTCGGTCACGATATTCTTTGTACATGATGGGTACGGGATATCTAGAACACTGAACAACTGCATGGACCACAAAAATACAGATTTGGACCAACTATAGAGACTGTAAACCACAATAACAACTGTGGTAAAGTAACTACTCTTAAAGATGGTTCTTACAGAACCATGAACACTCAAAGAACCCTCAGCATGCTAAAAGGGTTCTTCAGATTGATATAACACCATAACACTGGTAATTTTATAAACGCTTTTAGTGCTATATAGAACCCTTTTCGAAAAGGCTCCATAAAGAACCATATACCACACATTCTCCAGCAATTTGAAGAACGATGCCACTGTGCAAAGAACCATTTAAGCATGCAAACAGTTCGAGTGTTCATGGGTTTATATAGAACCACTGTCGTTACTAAAGAACACTTGGAGAACCATCCTTTGTAAGAGTGAACATAAACTACATAGCAAAGCAGCTGACTGGACGGCAGTTTTTTTTTTAATTTATTTCCCAAAATGTTAAATTTTTTGCTTATATTGCTTGTTTTTGCAAATGTTCTCCACATTAGGCTTTCAAATCTGGTGCCACTGTTCTGCTGGTGCACTCTGTCCATTCAAAGTGGTATATAAAAATTAGAAATACTAAATATCGTGATACATATCGTGTATCGTGAATAATGTCCGGATATATTCGTACCACATTCACAGAGCATTACATCTGTTGCACATGACCAGCGAGAGGCTTCAACCTCAGTCAGGAAATCTCCACTCTTCGTTCGCTGTGATGATACGGCTGGAAATCCCCGACTGAGAATCACGCACGGTTACTGGGGAGGCCCACGTTATATAACACCGCTGGTGCTCATTTATCACATCCCCTTTTCGGAGAAAAGTGAGTAAACACGCACTGAGAAGTTCACCTAAACTCCTCTGAGGTGCGTCACTGTACAAAAGGGGGAGGTACAGGAATATCAATTCCCTCCACAGTGCATTTAAATACGTCTCCTTTAGTTATACGGTTATTTGAATAGTTCTGTGATGCTCATCAGACAGAGCAGCCTGATTTAATACCCTAGAATCAACAAAAAAACCCAATATGTTAGCCGATCTCCGTCCATATCTCAGTCTGCTGTAACTCATTCACCGAGAAAGCCAACGGTTGTGATTAAATGTTGGGTCAAAATAAACACCCCACCCCAGCAATCATCTTCATTATCTACTCTAGTGGTTCCCAAACATGCCCTGTATTAGCTCTCGTATATTGCGTGTGTTACTGCTTTCCTACTCATCTGTTCTCATTTAAAAGGGAAAATTCAACCAATCAAAATTTAGGAAATTTTTTAATTTTAAGAAATTTTTTGTATTGTAATTTTTCTTCTAAGAATATTTTGCTATGTTTTTCCATCAGGAATTCATTCCATGTAATAACTTTCTGTGAGGGAGTTTAGAGGTGGACGTCTGGTTCCTATCACCAGCATTTCACACCAAACCACTCTGAACGACTCTTTTTACGTCTTAACCGTTTAATTATGCAGAACTTTTAACAAGAAATTCTACTAATAAAAGATACATGTCACACATGCCATATGTTGTTATTTTCAGGAGACCCTGCGCTACTCAGACTGACATGTAAATGTTGACAGAAATTTGATATTTTTATGAATGAGTCATTTCTGATCAAAAATTTACCAAGCGCCTGCTAAATTCTGTATTTTTTTAATTATAGAAATTGTTAGTCTGGAGTGTCTGTGAGCTGAAAATGCAATAATTTTGATGGTGATTCATTCTGTTGGTTATTATGAGCAAAAATAAACAATTAGCATAAGGCAGACATGTTTTTTATTGATTTTCTGTCCTCTTGAATTCAGGCTGAGTGCTAAAACTCTGATACACAGCAAGACTGGATTTATTTTTAATTACAAATTAAGCTGCATATTTAATTTCAGATATTCTTAATACTCAAAATCAATGTAAACTGAAAGACAGAGCTTAATGTTATTGATTTTATAATAACATTCGTCATATTTATTGTTATTTATCTGTTAAAATGTGTTTTAGGGCCTGTTTGTGTGATGTAGAGGGAAAGAGGGAAAGTGCACTCATTATGTTGAATGGGACGTTGCAGTTTTATCGCCTTTTTCACCACTTTAGGGGTCTTTCTCTAGAGGGAAAGGTGAGTGACGTTTACCTGAGCTTGAGCTGTTTCTGTTTACAACCGAGTATCGACAGCTAGGAAGCAATTCGACCACTTTAACACTTACATAAGAACAAAAAGGACTATTATGATGCCGTTTTTATATGATAATTGTAGTTATTTACATACCAATCAACCAAACATCCACCATGAATGTATTTTAAAAATATCATGAAACAGTGTCTCAGTCATCAGGCAGTGAATTCATAACCATTTCATGTAGTAACTTTCTGTGAGGGAGCTTTTAGAGGTGGACGTCTGGTTCCTATCACCACCACTGTGAACAGTTCTGACTCGGTCAGTTTCTCTAGAACAGAGCGTTTCACACCGAACCACTCTGAACGACTCTGTTTACATCTTAACAGTTAATCACGCTGAAACTTTTGACATTTTGGTGTATTTGTCCTTTAATCTCATGAAGGGTTTAGTTAGGAGCTGACGAACTGAAAACACTGAGCTATGCAGACTTCAGAGCGCAGGATCAGGATTGAGAAATGCTGAAATGTTGATGCAGGAGCTTATAAAGCTAAAGCTGGGCAGCAGCCCTACCAACCAGCAGCAGCACGAACATGTGAAATCCTGCATGTCTGAAGAAATAATCAAAACATTCAGGCAATATGACAATATTGATTATTATCATGATGATTTACGTCACAATATGCTTTCCTGAGCTTATCATGAATATCATCGGTACCTAAAAACACTGTCTGACTGAAATGAGAGCTTAATTAGTCCTGTTTTTCTGGATTTAGTGCAGCACAGGATGTGAAATGTTGATTATAAAAAAGGTCTGTATTCATACTTTGATTTTTTTTTTTAAATATGATACTATTTTGTATCTTCCAATCTATCAAATGTCAGAAAATAAATATTGTGACATCATGCATCGTGAACATTTTCTAAAATATCATTATTACATTTTTGCCATATTCCCCAACTCTAATATTCTGTACAATACTGCCACTGTAGCTCGCTGATTTAAAGGGGAACTCCAGCTATTTTTCCAAAGTTCCACTTCACCTCGTAACAGTCATTCAGAGTGGTCTGGTGTGAAACGCTCCGTTCTAGAGAAATTGACCGAGTCAGAACTGTTCACAGTGGTGGTGATAGGAACCAGACGTCCACCTCTAAAAGCTCCCTCACAGAAAGTTACTACATGAAATGGTTATGAATTCACTGCCTGATGACTGAGACACTGTTTTATGATAGTTTGGAGAAGATTTTGGCCTTAAACTCCATTCATGGTGGAGGGATACATTATATGAAGGGCGCTGTGAGGCAAAATAGTCCCCAAAAAAAAACTTATTATTTCAGATTTTCCACTATTTTCCATCATCAACATTCCATATAAACTCAGAAGACTCGTGTAGGTTCTCTGGTGGTTCTGGATAGTAAATAAAATGTCTATATTTGTGTTGTAGTCATGGCGACCCCTGGTTCCTATCACCACCACTGTAAAGACATCTGAACCATTTCGCACCAAACCACTCTGAATCTCTCTGTTTACACCTCAAACACTGAGTTATGCAGAATATTTTTACACAACATAAATGGGTGGAATTCCCCTTTTTAATGCACGAATACGGATCATGAGGCAATGAATCACCTTAAAAACACTCGCGTCTTTCTGGAACCAAGTTAGCGTTAAACGACAGAAAAATAAAGAAAGAAAATAGACCACAAGTTCGTCTCTCACGCTATCAGAGCTCTGCTAACGGCTGTTTTCGTCTCTATGCACATTTCTATCTTAGCTTAGCTTAGCTTAGCACTCGCTGCGAGGCTGAAGTTGGCTTCCTATTCGAAATTTCCCGTTCCACCTTAAACGGTGCAGCAGTTACGTTCTGGCTCCTGAGGCGCCAGCACGTAACCGCTGCACTGTTTAAGGTGGACCGGAAGAATTCAAACAAGAAGCTGGCAAACAAGAAGCTGAGTTTAGAATAACAACGTTTTAGTCATTTTAAATCCACGGCCAACTTAGCTGGGACTTAAAGAAGTCGGGAGGAAAACGCAAAGTCTGCGAACTCAGTCCCGGAGCTAACGCGGAGGTTTATACTCGGCAACATGGGCGTTTTCTTCCACTTTTTTCGGTTAGCTTAGCATCAGCGCCACACAAACAAACGGCGCGAAAACAAAACAAACAACAACCAAACAAGCGGGGATCGCAAGCCGGGGGGGGCAAAGCTGAGCAGAAGGGCTTTTAACCTTTGATAACGTTGCTGTAGATGGTGGCTCGGAACTCCTCTTTAGCCCGCTGGTCGAAGTCCTGTCCGTGGATGATGCGCATCTGTTTGAGGAAAGTGGACTTGCCGCTCTCGCCGGCGCCCAGCAAGAGGATCTTCACCAGCCGCTTCACATACGTTTTGTCCCGCGAAATACATTTGTCGATCTCCTTGGATATCCTCAGCTGCTCCGCCTCGCTGCTGTTCAGCAGACATTTGGGAAAACAAACGGACAGAAAGGACCGCGACGGCAGGAAATCCGCCATCTTCGACACAACTTCATCGAGGCGGTGGAGAGAGAGAGAGAGCGTGTGAGGCGATCAGTGACTGAACCGAGTCCTTTCAAAGGATTCGGTTGAGCCGAGCCGGCTCTTTGTGGGTGGCGACTGAATCGGACTTTTGTTTTGTAGCGTCCTACGTCCGCTTTCTGTGGAAGCCCGTTTCCGCCACAGGAAAAAATAATAATGAATGTTTATATTTATATAAGGTAAATATACAAACTTCCCCTATGTGGGATTGTAAAAGTTGAACAATAAAAATTTTCTATGACGTAGCGTCTCATAATTATTACTTGGCTTCTCGTAATTATGACTTTCTTTCTCATCATTTTAACTTACTTTCTCATATGATCTAGCATAATAATGACATACTTTCTCATAATTGTGATTTATGACATAATTACTTATTTTCTCATAATTATGACTTGCTATCCCATAATTATGATTTATAATCTCGTAAGTATGACTTACTTTCTCATAATTGCGATTTAGCATGTCATAATAATGAGACTCAATCTCAAAATTATGACATCTTTTCTCATAATTATGACTTACTTTCTCATATGATCTATCATAATAATGACCTACTTTCTCATAATTGTGATTTAGAATAATTACTTATTTTCTCATAATTATGACTTGTTATCTCATAATTATGACTTACTATCTCATAATTATGACTCAGCCACTCATAATTATGAAAAACCTTCTCGTTATGACTTACTAAATGGCTATATTTGTTCTATTCGCGGAAACAGGCTTTTCTGATAAAACCTTTAGTTTAATTTGTATATATGCATGCTTTTAACATTATCTTTGTAAAAATATAAGATCACTTTATATGATAGAATATGGTTAATTTTACTTATACGCATTTTTATTTTATTAAATAATTTTGTATTTATATATATATATATATATATATATATATTTTATAAATGCATCCGTGTAAATTAGTGCAGTTTCAAACAGATTTTTATTTTTTATACATTTTTGCATTAGCTAATTATTACATTTTTATAAAACTTTTAGAATTATAGTAATATGTCCAAGAATCCTGATCAACAAAAACCACAGTGTAATGTATTAACAGCTTACATTTTCTCTCTGTTAATGTATTTTCCCTCTTATTGCTGCTAACTAATTCTATTAATAATTCTATAGCCTTTCTGTAAAGCACTTTGAGCCTCTACCAGTATGAAAAGTGCACTATAAATAGAGATACTGTAATCATTGTTGTTTTTATTGTGTCTACCCAGTCCGGTCCTAGCTGAAAGTCATTGTTCGCGAAGAGGAGGGGAATGGGGTTAATTTGACTAATTAGTGACGTGTTATTTGTGTATTTTTAATGGAAATGATGAGTGTAAATTCGACTGATCGCTCCATCCACCCACCCGGGAGCGAAAATGAATCGGTGAGTCGGACGTTCGATTCACTGAAACCGACCGCACGAATGAATCGGTTCTCCAAACTGAATCAGACGCCCCATGTCTACAGTGCTGGAGGGCGCGGTCACGAGAGGCCGAGCGCGGGCACGGCTCAGTCATGGGCACGTTTAATCACATTAGTTATGTCAGTGGGGAAGATTAATGTGTCTGAATCTCTTAGATGGAGCTCTGCTGAACCGCACAGTGCGCTGAACAGGTCGTGAAATAATAATGGCACCCATGTTGGAGCTGTCTGGGTGTTTAGCCGCGTGGTAACTGTAGTGAGGAGGCCTGTTTGAATCTGATTGAGCATTTGAATAAAGCCATTTGTCGTCAGGGCTGGGATGTAACAAATAACAAGTATGAGGAATACATATTAAAAATACAGAAATTAAGTATCTGTATTCAGTCTAGGTTATGTTTTGTAAAGGCAGCATTTAGAATACAATCACTTTTTGCATTTTAGGTGAATACATTTAGAATAATTAACTCACTAAATGTAAAAATTCCATCTTTAAAAGAAACACCATCAATGCTTTTTTATTTACTTATCCAAAAATCTGCACCCGTATCAAAAATGCCTGTTAGACAAACTCTAAAGAAGGCCTCAATTGACAGCGTCTTCACAAACACTGAAGTTCCTGCTAAAGTCTGAGTAGACTGATAAATCAATGTGATCGGTAATTAATCTCAGTGTTACTGAGCTCTGCTAAAGCCTGAGTAGACTGATAAATCAATGTGATGACCAGTTATTAATCTCAGTGTTACTGAGCTCTGCTAAAGTCTGAGTAGACTGATAAATCAATGTGATCGGTAATTAATCTCAGTGTTACTGAGCTCTGCTAAAGCCTGAGTAGACTGATAAATCAATGTGATGATTGGTTATTAATCTCAGCGTTACTGAGCTCTGCTAAAGTCTGAGTAGACTGATAAATCAATGTGATGATCGGTTATTAATCTCAGTGTTACTGAGCTCTACTAAAGCCTGAGTAGACTGATAAATCAATGTGATCGGTTATTAATCTGTGTTACTGAGCTCTGCTAAAGCCTGAGTAGACTGATAAATCAATAATAATTACATGAAGAAAACTGCCAACCAGTAACAGCAAGGAACAGAGTGAATTAAGTAAAAAAAAAGGCTTTTCCCATCTTCCCTATCAGTCTGTACTGTAAATATACTCTGAATATGTTACTTTTCTATGTATTGTAATGTGATACCTTACTGAATACATTTAGACAGTGTACTCAGTATTCAGCCATCACTACTCTTTTAAAGTATTTAGCCCAACTCAGGCCGTCGTTGCCTTTGCTCTAATTACGCTGCATTTTCAAATCATTTGCATTAACAATGAGGTGACCTGTATCTGCCCCACCTCGTCTTCCTGCCCATTGCAGTTTTTCCAGTTTCAGTTTACAGACTTTTTTACAACCTAATTTGCATTTAAATGAACAAAGACTGTACATTAACATGTCTGTACACCATTGCCTTGTCTCTCTCCCTCACTATGAAACACTAATCCTTCCAAATATACTTAAGTTCATCTTGATTTACCCCTGGAAGTACAGTCCTAAACAGGACGGTTCTTTAAGGGTTCTTTAACAAAGGCAATGGTTCGGTATAGCCCTACGATGGACTGGCGACCTGTCCAGGGTGTATCCTGCCTTCCGCCCAATGACTGCTGGGATAGGCTCCAGCTCCCCCCCACGACCCAGGAAAATAAGCGGCTTAGAAAATGTGTGTGTGTGTGGTTCTGTTTAGAACCATGAGTTCTATATACAACCATTTCCTGCTTGAATGGTTCTCTGTGTCGTCAAATTGTTCTTCAGATGGATGGAGAATATGTTGTATATGGTTCTATACAGAACCAAAAAGTTCTGCTATTGTCACAATGCCAAACAATAGAGGAACCCTTTTTGGTGCTGTCTAGAACCATATACAACACATTCGTTATCAATCTGAAGAACCATTTTGCCATGTGGAGAACCGTTTAAACATGCAAATGTCTAGTACACTCTCAGGAATAATAATAGTAAACTGTCACTGGGTCAGTTCCCCTCTTGTCACTGGGGTGGAACCATCAAGGCTCCATCTCAGTACCTTTAGTCAGGGAACATAACTGAACCATAATCCACTGAAATGATATGTTCTAAGCTGTACTGACTCCACACACCCCGTCTCGTCTCCAGGCTTTTATTTTACTGTTCTGTTTAAAACATTCGGTTATGAAAAGGTACAAATACGAACTTTTCACCTGGAAAAACTTATTTAAGGTTCACAATCAGACCTTAAAACCACTGTTGTACCTTTGAGGGAACATTTACACTGTTTGTACCTTGATGAACGAAAAATGTACCTGAACAGAACCTTTATTTCTAACTGTGTACATGCTAAACGGCTGATTAGCACACCCTGGAAAAGTATGTCTGCTCCTTTGGTGAAAGTGTGGCTGAAAGAGTTCTCTTCGTGTCTAATATGGAAAGAACAACTTATATGATAAAATGTAAACTTGAGGCTTTTTATAACATATAGAGTTTGTTTTTGAAATTTTTGGTGGAAGTAGAGATCAATTTGGCACCTCAACAATCCACCTGAGAATAAATTGAATCCATAAATTCATTTATTTATTTATTTACTCTATTATTATCGTCCGCAACCCAGAAGGATAAGCAGCTTAGAAAATGTGTGTGTGTGTGTATTATTATCGTTAGCATTATCATTGTTATTATTAATATTAGTTCTTTTAGAACCATAAACACTCAAAGGACGCTTTGCATGATTAAAGGGTTCTTTGCGTGGTGAAATGGTTCTTCAGATTGATGGATAATGTGCTGTATATGGTTCAGTATAGAGCCTTTTTGAAGAGGTTTCTAAATAGCACCAAAAAGAGTTCCTGTATTGTTTACAATGTGAAGCTTGAAACAATAGAAGAACACTTTTTGGTGTTAAGAACTCTTATCTAAAGAACCATTCTCCATCAATCTTAAGAGCCCCTTTAATCATGCAAAGCGTTCTTCGAGTGTTCATGGTTCTCTATAGAACCATTTTCCTACAGAACCCGTGAAGGACCATCTGTTTAAGTGTGTAGATTAGGGCAGAAGTCATGGAGCAGTTAAAGCTCGCTTTGGCGGCACCTGCTGTCAGCCGCTGGTACTGCAGTGCCTCCCCGCGCTCGGATTGGTGGACAAATCTGTCTTCAGGCAGTTTCTGTTTCTGTAGAGAGCGTCTTCTCTAACGGGGCAGCAGCTGCAGAGTGGAAACTGAACTCGCTGCGTTTTTAGGAAGTAATAACTGCAAAGATGACGATAAAATTCATCCGAGATCATGGACAACATTACCGCCCGAGAATGGCCTGTTTGACCAAGGTGGGTCAGTCTGTGTTCTGCTTAATTAGCTTATAGACTGTAGAGTTTATCAGTGCATTACTGCACGTAAGATATATTCTGATTAATTCATTTATTTCAAATGGACATTCCATCAATTTTTAACAATTTCTGCAAAATTGTGCATACAGAGAGATTCAGAGTGGTTTGGTGTGAAATGGTTCAGATGTCTTTACAGTGGTGGTGATAGGAACCAGGGGTCGCCATGACTACAACACAAATATAGACATTTTATTTACTATCCAGAACCACCAGTGAACCTACACGAGTCTTCTGAGTTTATATGGAATGTTGATGATGGAAAATAGTGGAAATTCTGAAATAATAAGTTTTCTTTGGGGACTATTTTGCCTCACAGCACCCTGCATATTATGTATCCCTCCACCATGAATGGATTTTAGGGCCAAAATCTTCTTCAAACTGTCCTAAAACAGTGTCTCAGTCATCAGGCAGTGAATTCATAACCATTTCATGTAGTAACTTTCTGTGAGGGAGCTTTTAGAGGTGGACGTCTGGTTCCTATCACCACCACTGTGAACAATTCTGACTCTGTAAGTTTCTCTAGAACAGAGCGTTTTACACCAAACCACTCTGAACAACTCTGTTTACATCTTAACCAGTTAATTATGCAGAAATTTTGTAAAATTGGTGGAATTCCCCTTTCTGCAATGTATGTGCGTTTTCAGATCTTCTGTGGTTTATATTGCGTCTGTCTGCTCATATCTGATGATTTGAAGTAAAGGTTATATATACAGAGGCAGATGACAAAAGACATTGTAACAGTAGCAGAGCCCTTTTTTGGTGCTATATAGAACCATTTTCAACCACCTGCAGCACATTCTCCATCAGTCTGAAGAACCCTTCCACCATGCAAAGAACCCTTTAATCATGCAATGGGTACTTTGAGTGTTCATGGCTACATATGGACCCATTTCCTTTAGTAAAGAACCCTTGAAGAACCATCATTTTTAAGAGTATATAATCAGTGAAGAACTCAATCTTAATGTATGTAATGCTTTGTTGAGTGCCTGGAGCTGTGAGAGCAGGAAACGACCGCTAATGCTAATTCTTACTGTCTTTAAAGCCAATTAGTTTGGCACATGGCCACTTTTGCAGGCCTTACATTGACCTGTCTAAGATCAGAGCTGACGTTGTCCATGAATAGAGCTCTGTTTTTCTCCCATTACCTTTTTTAAAGCAATAAAGTGGCTGTTGTTGTTTGTTTGTTTCATTTTGGTGAAAAGTGAAGGGATCTGTACTTTAACGTAAAATAAAAGTATGATCACAAAAACACTTAAAATGTCTGTGTCCACCTTGAATTTGGTGATTTTGGGCGGCCCACCTCACTGACACTGAACCTTTCTGTAAAATATTAATAAAAATCTTTCTGTAACATTATAATTACAATCTTAGTTCACTTAGTTAGTAGGTGGGGCCTTATTTTAGCCACGCCCCTGTATTTTAGAGCAGGAAGTGAGACTGCATCCCTGTACCTCATGACCACATGGTGAGCAGTTAGATCCCATTGTTTTGAAGTAAATGTGTCCCAAAGTCTGAAAATCAGTGTGGAACATTAAGAATCGTCATCTTTTCTGCAGTTCAGCACTTTTTCAGTGTTGTAATGAAAAATATGATGATTTTCTGTGTGAACAGCTGTTCAAAGCTGTGTTTGCTGTGTTTTTGAGCTCAAAATGAGCTAAAATTGTCACCGAAACCGTCACTACTGAAACATTTGGTAAGGTTTGGTAGAGTTATGATTGTTTTGCTAGTGACAAAATGGAACATTTAATCATTAGTTTTAATAAAATAAGCATAATTAAGGTTTAGAGTCACTCAGAGCAGAATGATTTTTGTCTAAAGTCCAAGATCAGTTAAAAGTCCCCAATGGGTTTCAGTTCTGACTCTGAACCAGTTGATCCGAATGTGTAATATCCTGCTATGTACCACTCTGTCTCAGGTGGAGGCCATGGTGTTGCAGATGCAGGACTCCAAATCTGGGGTGAAATCATCTGAACAGAAGCTGAACATTACCTCTATTCCTCATGTCGTTGCAGGTGAGTTGAAATGAAACAAATCTCTGTCATTAGAGCGTCTTCATTTCACACTGACCTGATGTCCGGATTCAAAATACTGAGTCTTAATTCACTAAAGTAACTTCTGACTGCTTTGGTGCATTTAAAGTGCCCATATATGGATAAACAGAGTGCATATGTGGACACTTATCAGCCCGTTTTGAATTCATTGTCCCAGTCCTGTTTCACCCCTCGCCCCTACCACTTAGCCCTACCCCCGTTTTGCGTGTTCACGTCTAGGGGTAGGGTGTCCCGATTCTTGTTGAGATAGAGGGGTGGGGTGAAGTGCTGGGGCTACATGACCCTCCAAACAGAGGTTTTTCAGAGACTCCAAACAGAGTGATATGAGGAAAAAAGAATAACCAGCAAGATGGAGGACAAGAGACCAAAGAAACCCACAAATATGAGAATTTTCTCCACAAAAAAAATAGTTTAATGTAGTTTTAAGTGTATTATGGTCGTTTTCTTAATAACAATCACTAATAGCGTGCTAATGTCTCGGTAGTAGCTAGCTAACTTTCCCGTTCCACCTTAAATAGTCCAGCAGTTCTGACGCCTGAGGTGCCAGAATGTAACTGCTGCTCCATTTAAGGTGGAACGGGAAAATTCGAACAAGAAGCTGGTGAATATCTGACTTCAGCTTCACATCACTGAAGAATTAGGGGTGGGTGATAATAAATAATTGCCCCCCTCTTTGAAGGCATATGATGCCCTAAATGTAACTAAAGCCCAGCAGTGAGGAGCTGAACTTTACCCTCCTCTGCTGTCACTGCAGACTGGCAGGGTCGCCTACAGAGCAGCACTGGTAGCTGTTAATGAAGTGATGCTCTTTTTATTTGAGGGTCCCATTTCAGAGGGAACGTTTCAACCACTACCCTGTAACTCAGTTCCAAGAGGCAAGAAAATAAGGGGTAGGGGTAAAAATAACAAATGGGACTGGGCCATTGTCTCTGTGATGTCACAAACACCAACACATTTACATATCTCCACCTATTCAACCTACTGTAGTTTAGCCCCGCCCACCAACACTGAAGTTACAAAGAGTAATTCAGAACAGGGGTCATTTGCATACATCAGTCTTAAAGACACAGTAACGAAATGGCCTGTTTAATGCTAAAGTGTAAAGAGGGTCATGCAAAAATGAATTATGACCCCTTTTGGTACATAAAATTATATGAACAGAAGTGCAGCTCCAGAGAAAAACATTAAAAAACAAGAAAAATGTAAGATATCAGCCCTTTAATTTATATTCATGGTTCCTTTTTAGATCTTTGTTGCATTACATTTATTTATTTATCATATATTATTTACATATTACAAAATTTTGGAATCACTTTTCATATTATTTTTTTTAGATACAATAATAAGTAATACAATGAGAATTTAAAGATGTTTATAATATATAATATACTTGAATTACCTATTTGTATTAATTTTTGTCAAGTTATCGGTCTTAATTACCTGAAACCTGTGAAGCAGATTAGAATGATTTTCTATGTTTATCTACAACCAAATTCGCTTTATATGAATGAAAACTTTTAAACAGCAGTATAAATAATGTTTATTATGCTTCATGTTTATATTTTACATGCATTACTAGTCCAGTGTGTCTTGCTTTATCTGTTTAGAGCGTCACATGGTTGACATGTGTGCACTTTCCAAGATAAGTTCCTCAAATTTACAGTCTTGTGTAAAAGTTTGGGTCAAATTCCATGTTTTTCTTGATTTTCTAAGTGAAAATAAGTGAACACATCCTCTACGGAGAAAACACTTAAGCACATTTTAATGCACAGTTACTGTTTATTTGCTGAGTTTTAACAAAACATAAAATGTAAAATATAAAATGTACCATAACATTTGCACAGGCCACATTTTATGCTTTTTTTACATTTGCAGAAGCGTTATAGAATCATTATATCTACTGCAGGAATTTATAAGTACATTGTAATCATCTTTCAGGTCTTTTGTATCTGTTTATTCCTCAGTCTGTATGTACAGTATGTGCTGTAATGAAAGCTGACGTTCTAGGTAAATGTTCTGTGCTGGTGCTCTGTACAGAGACAGGCTGTCTGCAGCCACTGATGCTAATCTGCCTGCACTGGCTATATACAGCAGCTTTCAATTGGATGAGATCTGTGTGCTGATTTGTGCTCCAAAGTCGCCCTTTAATCCTAATGAGGCAGTGCGCATGAGCCTCGTGTGCTGGAGACCCTGCAGCCGAGTCAGCTCTCTCCTCAGTGTCGTATGGCTTCATAGTAATGCAGGTGTTTTGTCACTATAAATTTGTCAGAATAAAAAGATGAATTAAGCTGATGCACTTAAACCAGCAACACACAGACTATCATGTCAGTATCACTGTGCTGAGAATGGACCACCACCCAAATAATATCTGGTCAGCAGTGGTCCTAATGGCTGATGACAGATGGGCTACAGTCCATAACTGTATACCGAAAAAGTGCATCTATATGGTAGGTGTTTCTGATAAAATGGCCAATAGTTGTGAGTATTTCATGCAGTGTTTCCACCATTTTGTGCATGCCCTGTTTTGATTTCATACTTATGTAATGCATAATGTCTAATTACATTATGTAATAACATGTAGCTAGGACAATTGTCTTCATGCTCTTTAAAAATAAGACCTAATGGTGGTATATACAATGAAAATAAAAGTGGGCCTAGTACAGAACCCTGAGATACACCATGAAGAAAATCATGCTCGCCTAATCTAACATAGTGCTTTCTTCAATTAAGAGATGTTTAATATTGCTGTAAGACAGTTCCAGAGAGGCTAACCCAATTTTCAGAGGGTACAGACAGTGTACAGCAACAGATGAACTGTAATCTGTAAAGTGTAAAAGTTGCTCCTGTAAAGTCGGTTTCTGATAAAATGCCCAATCAATATTTTGTGCATTGTTTCCATTATTGTGTACACTCCCTTTATAGATCTACTACTTATATAATGCATAATATATATGCTATATGGACAAAAGTATTGGGACACACCTCTTAATCGTTGAATTCAGGTGTTTCTTTCAGTCTCATTGCCACAGGTGTATTAAATCAAGCCCCTAGCCGTGCAGTTTGCCTCTTCACACATTAGTGAAAGAATGGGTTGCTCTAAGGAGCTCACTGAATTCGAGCGTGGTGCTGTAATAGGATGCCACCATTGCAGCAAGTCAGTTTTGCGAAATTTCTATTCTCCTAGATACAGTTACAAAATTACAGAGCGGGTCTCCGAGTGCTGAGGAGCATAGAGCATAAAAGTCACCAACACTGCAGAGTTCAAACCTCCTCTGGCATCATCAGCACAGAAACTGAGCCGGGAGCTTCATGGCAGGGTTTCCATGGCCGAGCAGCTGCATGCAGTCCTTACATCACCAAGCACAATGACAAGTGTCAGATGGAGTGGAGTAAAGCGCCGCCACTGGACTCTGGAGCAGTGGAAACGTGTTCTGTGGAGTGATGAATCAGCTTCTCTATCTGTCAGTCTGATGGACGAGTCTGGGTTTGGCGAATGCCAGGAGAACGTTACCTGCCTGACTGCACTGTGCCAGCTGTAAAGTTTGGTGGAGGAGGGATGATGATATGGGGCTGTTTTTCAGGGGTTGATCTAGAACCCTTAGTTCCAGTGAAGGGAAATCTTAATGCTTCAGCACCAAGACATTTTGGACAGTTGTACACTTCCAACTTTGTGGAACAGTTTGGGGAAGAACCTTTCCTGTTCCAGCATGACTGAGCCCCAGTGACCAAAGCAGCTCCATAAAGTCATGGCTGGGTGAGTTTGGTGTGAAAGAACTTGACTGACCCTCACAGAGTCCTGACCTCAACCCCATCTAACACCTTTGGGATGAACTAGAACGGAGATTGTGAGCCAGACCCTCTCGTCCATCATCAGTGTCTGACCTCACAAATGCTCTTCTAGATGAATGGACACAAATTCCCACAGACTCTCTCCAACATCTTGTAGAAGCTTCCCAGAAGAGTGGAAGCTGTTAGAGCTGCAAAGGGGGACCAACTCCATATTAATGCCTGTGGATTTAGAATGGGATTCATAAAAGCTCCCATGGATGTAATGTGTAGGTGTCCCAATACTTTTTCCTTTTTTTTTAGTATATACACATATATATATACAAAACAAAGCAATCGTTTTGTGTGCCTGTGTGTGTGTGTGTGTGTGTGTGTGTGCATGTAGATTGCATGGTATGGTTCTTAGGATCAAGTCTAATCCTGATTCTGGTAGGTTGTACTGTTGATGGTTAATAAGAGGTGTCCAAATTAAGTTTAACTGTGAGGTTTTGTTTTTGAGAGATACAGACAGTTTTCCCATTGATATGTGATCCAGTAACAAGCTTTTCCAGTGTGTAATGTTAATGGATTTTTTCAATTTCCAGCTCAAGAGGATGGTTTTCTTGGTGATGTTAGTGCTTCATAGATTGCTCCAATATGCCCATTAGTCACAGTGATTAATGACGTGTCTCCAAGCAGACTGAGTGATGGAGGTAGGGGGATATGGGCGTTTGACCAGAGTGATAGGAGGTTAAGAGTGTGACAGTTTCATGCCGTGTTTTCATTATTTTGTACACCCCCTGTCTTGAGTTCATAATGTATAATATCTAATTACATTATGTAATAGTGTGTAGCTATGACAACTGACTTCCTGCTCTTTAAAAATCTAATGGTAGCATGTGCAATGAAAATGAAAGCGGGCCTAGTACAGAACCCTGAGAACCTCTTTTATAGATTTCATAATAATATAATGCATAATATTACATCATATGATAAAATATTATACATAATAGTAGGTGTTTCTGATAAAATGGCCATGTTAGGAGAGTCTAATCAATTGAAAACTCTGCATGAATCTGTGTTTCGCAGGTCAGGACATTATCACCTGGATTGTCAATCATATGAAGGTGGATGCTCAAGGTAACCTTATCATTTCTGGCCAGAATAATCTGTGATATTGATAATGCTGCAGTTTTTTACTTTATGCTCATCAAACTCTTTTAAATGCCTTTGCTAGAGGCTCGAGCTATAGGCACCATGCTGGTGGCGTATGGGTTCATCTACCCACTGCAGGACCACAAAAAGCTCATCCTCAAGCCGGACGGAAGTCTGTACCGCTTTCAGGTGACTGTTTGTTCATCGCTCTTTCTTTATACAACTTTAGGAAAGATTTTTTTAAAACATAACATTACACTGTGCAGTAATCTTATATCTTTCTGTCCATGGCAGACTCCTTACTTCTGGCCTGTTCAGAAATGGAAGGCTGACGACACTGATTACGGTAATGGCGCTTTCTTCATCATAAGCTATGTTTACATGCAGCCTGATAAGCCATTAATAATATGAGCAATTGCTCAGTCGTAATGGAATACATTCATGTATACATTCCATTCGGAATACAATTTATATCCGACTGAACGAGGTGGGTAATACTGTAAATAATCCATTAAATAGAAGAATAATAACCATGTAAATGTCTGTATCCGATTACATTCCCAATCGGAAGGTTTAAGTACGTTCTGTGCATGTCCGCCACGTCATAGCGAAAGTTTATAACGTTCAACGTTTTGTTTTGGATTACTTGTAGTGAGCATGTAAACGGAGATTTTCCATCAAATTGATGAGTAGAGTGAGCATAAACACCTCATTCTTAATCTATAATCGGAATATATTCAATCAAAAAAATTCAATTAAAAAATCTTTGCATGTCATGCAAAATGTCATGGCATGACAGCCATTCAGTCATAAGAAATTGAGATACTTCATTACACATCAGTAGACACTGTAAATCTTCACATCTTCACTGTTTTGCATTTTTATTTTTACTGTAATTTTATAGTTATTTAAAATTTGATAATTTAGTACTATGTCTCTATAAACGTGAGCTAATTTCAAGATAAATTCTCTATACACCACTGTTCAAATATTGGCATGTTAATACATTTTATTATTTTATGTACAATAATCAGACTATAATGTAGATTTAAGTCTCATAAACTAGACAATAATGGTGTTTTTGCAAGTTTTATTCAATATTTCAGATATGCTGGGAACAACAGTATGTTAAATGATAAATAATGTACTGCAATTATCTGATCTGTTACAAAAATGCGATATGATTCGCCTCAAAATGCGCTTGCAACTATTCATATATGAGACATTTAGAATATCAGTTTAATTGTAACACTATTCACAATGTTAAACAGCTTTCTCAGTTATAGTAGAACTATTTGGAATCTGTAAAGCATATTAGAATCATTATCCATTTATCTGCAACCAAATTTCATATAATTTGAAAACATTGATTGCAAACTTTTGAGCAGTAAGTGAGATCATATTTGGTCAATAAAGTCAGTTCTGGTTCTGATATTGCTGTCATGGTGTATCTCCAGAAAGGTAACTTTACAGGAGAAGAGAACAACTTTCTTAACTTTTAGTGGAAGTTAGTGGAGAAATGATTTATTCCAAGCAATTTTGGACCATTTCTATTTCTATTTCTACTCAACCCACTCTTTTTCTCACTTAAGCGATTTACCTGGCAAAGAGAAACATTCGGAAGAAGGGAACGCTGGATGTGTATGAACAGGTGCTGCTGCTTCTTCTAATCAACTCATATTCATATTCCTCATGTTTGCAACTACAACCCCATTTCCAAAAAAGTTGGGACGCTGTGCAGAATGTAAATAAAAATAGAATGCAATGATGTGCAAATCATGTGAACCATATTTTTAAAGGGAAATACTACAAAGACAACATATAAAATGTTGAAACTGGGAAATTTTATTGCTTTTTGAAAAATATATGCCCATTTTGAATTTGATGTCAACAACACGTTCCAAAAACGTTGGGACGGGGGCCTGTTTACCACTGGGTTTCATCACCTCTTCTTTAAACAACACTCTGTAAGCGTTTGGGAACTGAGGAGACACTGCTGTAGTTTTAAAAGTGAAATATTTTCTGTTCTTCGTTGGTATAGGATTTCAGCTGCTCATCATTTCAGGGTCTCTTTTGTTGCATTTTTCATTTAATAATGCACCAAATGTTGTCAGTGTTGACAGGTCTGGACTGCAGGCAGGTCAGTTTAGCACCCCGACTCATTTAATACGAAGCAATGCTGCTGTAATACATGCAGAATGTGGTTTGACATCGTCTTGCTGAAATAATCAAGGCCTTCCCTGAAAAAGACGTCGTCTGGATGGCAGTATATGTTGCCAAAACATGTATATATCGTTCAGCATTAATGGTGCCTTCACAGATGTGCACGTCACCCATGCCATGTGCACTAATGCCCCCCTATACCATCATGAATACTGGCTTTTGAACTGTGCACTGATAACAAGCTGAGCGGTCTTTAGTCCAGAGGACACAGTGTCCATGATTTCCAAAAAGAATTTCAAATGTTGATTCGTCGGACCACAGGACACTTTTCCACTTCCCCTCAGTCCATTTCAAATGGGCTAGGGCCCAGAGAAGGTGGCAGCATTTCTGGATCCTGTTTATATTTGGTTTCTTCTTTATATTTTAGAGTTTTAACTTGCATTTGTGGATGCAGTGATGAACTGTTTTCACAGACACTGATTTTCAGAAGTGTTTCTGAGCCCATGCAGTGATTTCCACTACAGAATCCTGTCTGTTTTTAATGCAGTGCTGTCTGAGGGCCCAAAGATCACGGCCAGCAAATACTGTTTTTGGCCTTGTTCCTTACATACAGAGATTTCTCCAGATTCTCTGAATCTTTTAATGTTATTATGTACCGTAGATGATGAAAAGCAAAAGTTCTTTGCTATTTTATGTTGAGAAACGTTATTCTTGAATTGTTGCACTATTTGATCGTGCAGTCTTTCACAGAGTGGTGAACCCCTCCTCATCTATACTTCTGAAAGACTCCACCTCTCTGAGATGCTTTTGTTTACCCAGTTATGTTACTGACCTGTTGCTAATTAACCACCAAGGGTTTTTTTTTAGCATTACACAACTTTACCAGCTTTCTGTTGTCCCAACTTTTTTGGAAATGGGGTTGTATGAACATAACTATGACTTAACTAACCTTAGAAAATGACCTAATTTAGTTGTTTGTTCATTGTTCATCATTCATGTCTCAACCAATTATGCTAATAATTAAAGTATTTTTGAAGTATGATTATGTTTTTGAAGCTACCCATAAGTCCTGGGTGTGAAATTCCATAAGTAGTGATATAAGTGGGGCTGGGCAATATGACAATACACCGATCAGGCATAACATTATGACCACCTCCTTGTTTCTACACTCATTGTCCATTTTATCAGCTACACATACTATATAGGTGCACTTCTGTTTCTCTGCATACTTTGTTAGCCCCCTTTTACCCTGTTCTTCAGTGGTCAGGACCCCCATGGACCCTTACAGAGCAGGTACTATTTGGGTGGTGGATCATTCTCAGCACTGCAGTAACACTGATGTGGTGGTGGTGTGTTAGTGTGTTTTGCGCTGGTCTGAGTGGATCAGACACAGCAGTGCTGCTGGAGTTTTTTTTGAAGAAAAATCAGTTTTTGACAATATTTTTAAAAATATGTCACTACTGGTTCTTTTTTCTCCGCTCCAACTGATCAGATGTCTGAAAAAAATAAATATCGTAATGAGTATCGTGAAAAATGACTTGAGGTATCACAATATTGTATATTTGCCATATTGCCCACCTCTAGAGATAAGGGGTCCAATAAAGACGTTAGGGGGTCTGCTTACCCCTACACGCCATGTGCCCCCATCTCTCACATCACTGTTTGTACCTTTATGTTTTGTGATAATAGCAACATAATACCAGTTTCAATGCCTTAAACAGGAGTACTACAAGAACCTTCACAAATGGCTCAACCATAAATGGGACTTTATCGTGATGCAGGCCAAAGAGCAGTACAGGTCAGTCTCCACTGTGACCATAAAAAGATATTAAAAATAAAGCTTTGCTTCTACAAATATTGCACCCTGAATGGAGCTTGATTTTGGCCCATTTATGAATAAATAAGTTATTGTATATGTAAGTTATTATTATGAGAACATTTATTGCACCTGTAGATTAAGAATAATCCCAGACCTCCAAAATCTTTTGAAGCTCCAGAGCAACTTTAATACTATAGTTTGCCATTTTCCCCTTTTCTCCAAATATCATTGATCAGACAGGTTTAAAGTTTAGCTTCTGTAGTTTTACACTGGAGCTACAAGACTAATGTAGCTGACAAGCAACGGAAGCACAAACCCCATGCAGTGCTGACCGCAGACCTAAATGTCTCAAACTGTGTGTAGTTGTTCAGTATCTCTGCTAGACTTGATGATGTGGTTTCTGACACTGAATGACTCACTGTTATCTATAAACCTGGACTAAAGCACATAAAAACAGTGCCATTCATTTTGAGTTGTGTCAGCATTTTCATGCTTTGTCCATTTTTTCATATCTGTGCTGTGCTGTGTGTTGCAGGGCGGGCAAGGAGAGGAATAAAGCAGATCGGGTTGTGTTTGATTGTCAGGAGAGAGCGTACTGGATAGTGCACCGGCCTCCAGTGAGTAAACACTGAAATATACCTATTTGTCATGTATAGCTAGACATCCACCAGTAGAAGAAGAGCACAGCTAAAAATCCTCCAATAGAAGAACAACACAGCTACAAATCCACCAATAGAAGAGCAATAAAGCTAAAAATCCTCCAATAGAAGAACAACACAGCTAAAAATCCACCAATAGAAGAGCAATAAAGCTAAAAATCCACCAATAGAAGAGCAATACAGCTAAAAATCCACCAATAGAAGAGCAATACAGGTAAAAATCCACTAATAGAAGAACAACACAGCTGAAAATCCACCAATAGAAGAGCAATACAGCTAAAAATCCACCAATAGAAGAACAACACAGCTAAAAATCCACCAATAGAAGAACAACACAGCTGAAAATCCACCAATAGAACAGCAATACAGCTAAAAATCCACCAATAATTATTATTATATTATTATATAATTATATAATATTATTCCATGAAGTGTCCAGTCCTGTACAGATTTCATGTTGCAGTTTTATGTTATGTTAAATTGCTGAGGAAAAACTGACCCATGCTGATTTGACCTTTTGTCAACTCCTCAGCCTAGAACTCACAGCGCTATGGACTATGGAGTGGACCGCCTCATTGACCCCAATGCAGAAGAGGTGAAAGGTGAGGGAGCACATGGTGTGCGTGTTGTGTGAAGCAGGACGGCAAACAGCAGCAGATTAATGTTAGAATCCACCTGAGCATTGATCTGATGATTGATCTGCTAATGTATCCTCACTATGTCTGATTAAAAACTGGTGATCAGTGCAGTCGTGCAGTTGCGTTATATCTGAACTGTTCTAACAGGATCCAGCCTGACTATTTTTGTACTTCTTATAAAAACCAGAGACCAAAATGGATCGGACCACCTCGAACTCCACAGGCTAATAACGTTAGCTCAGATTAGCCGTGTGGCTCTCTCAGTACTGAGAAGGCCTCGGACAGTCTCTTTCTATCTGCTTAGTCTGATTAAGAGGATTCCTGACTGCTGATCGGCCCAGGAGTTCCCCCGACCCCCCCCTCACTAACGCTAGCGCGGATTAGCATGAGCCGCACATGGCCTGCGCTTTAGCGCTCTCGCTGTTGGCAAAGAAACTACTGTGCTAATTCATTAGCGCTGGTGCCAAACTCTGCATTTCTGTTTATGTCGGAGTTAGGAGGATAAATAAAGCAACCCAGGTCATTTTTTAGTCCACAGCTACTCATCTTCCCATACGGAAATCTGAGATATGGTGATCTATGGGTTTAAAACAAATTGCATATATTAGCATATATGGGTTTCCAACACATCCAACATATTTTTATCACATATGGGCATATAGGAGCGTATAGGGCATATGGGGACATATATTTCAGCCAAACAGCGTTTTATATATTTAAATATATGTACAGTGTTTTATATATTTACATATATATATATATATAGCTGTTGTCGGAAGACAGAACACTTAAATCCATTTTTGTCGTTTTTCAGTTTTTCACATAATTTGAAGATGTCTGTTGTCCTTTACATTGTCTGTTAATTTCATGATGAATGGACTAAAAGAAACGGCCCAAAATGACTTGTAAAAAATTCTGGTTCCATTGACTTACATTAAAAGTAAAGTATGTTTTTTCCTTCTCCTGTAAAGTTACCATTTTGGAGATACAAGGTTTTCTTCCGACAACAGCGACATATATCTGATAGAAAACATTAATTCAGTATTCATATGTGGATGGTATATATTACTTATAAAAAATAATTATATAAAAATGCTGAAGAGTTTGTGGGTTCAGTCTGTGTTTTTGCTGTTGTCTAGGCCTGAATAGAACACATAGATTAGCACACAAACAAACTGTAGATCCAGACAGAATGTGACCGTGTCCTCGTTTGCCTCAGTACAGAGAACAATGATCGCTGTTGTTGAGTGTGTGAGTGCATTCACAGATCACTCGTGAGGTGGATTGTTTTTTGGTGTGTGTGTGGACTGGTTGCATAAACTGCTTTCTTTTTCTCTCTCTCTGTTTTTTTCCAGGCATTTTTCTTTTTTCTCTTTAGCCTGCATGACTTTTCAAGAAGATGTCTGCTTACATACTCAAGAACATATAGTTTTCCCCTCTAATCTCTCACTGATAGAGACTGAGAGACTGCCGAGTAACTGCTGATACAGATCACAGCTTAAAACCACAGTAAAGGCACTTAGAACACGGTTCTTCTCATCTTAGCAGTTTTTAAAAACACCTACCTTGCAGTTCCACTGACTGGCCACTTTATTAGAAACACCTACCATGAATGTCCACTCGCTGACCACTTTATTAGAAACACCTACCTTGTGGTTCCACTCACTGGCCACTTTATTAGAAACACCCACCTTATACTTCCTCTAACTGGCCACTTTATTAGAAACACCCACTTTGTACATTCACTCAATGGCCACTTTATTAGAAACACCTACCATGAATGCCCACTCACTGGCCACTTTATTAGAAACACCCACCTTGTACTTCCACTCACTGGTCACTTTATTAGAAACACCTACCTTGTGCTTCCACTCCTTGGCCACTTTATTAGAAACACATACCTTGTGCTTCCACTCACTGGTCACTTTATTAAAAACACCTACCTTGTGCTTCCACTCGCTGGCCACTTTATTAGAAACACCTACCTTGTGGTTCCACTCACTGGCCACTTTATTAGAAACACCTACCTTGTGCTTCCACTCACTGGCCACTTTATTAGAAACACCCACCTTGTACTTCCACTCACTCCACTTTATTAGAAACACCCACCTTGTACTTCCACTCACTCCACTTTATTAGAAACACCTGCCTTGTACTTCCACTCACTGGCCACTTTATTAGAAACACCTACCTTCTAAGCTCTACTCTGTAGGTGTACAGTTGCAGACTGTAATCCATCTGTGCCCTGACAGTTTACTAGCCCCCTCTATTTCATTCATCACTGACCATTCTGACCACAGGATTGCTGTTGTTCAGATATTATTAGGACGGTGGTCAGTTCTCAGCACAGCAGTGCCACTGACGTGGTAGTGTGTGTGTTGCTGGTATGAGTGTATCGGACACAGCGGTGCTGGGCTTTAACACATTAGTGTCACTGCTAGGTTGAGAGTGGACCATCCACCAGTGGGGTAGTTTCTGGTGAAGTGGCGGAGGATGGAGCTTCAAGGGAGGAGTTTCTGATAAAGTGGCCAGTGGGTGGAGCTACAAAGGGAGGGGTTTATGTTTATGAATTTCAGAGAGATGGTATTTCTCCACACATTTTCTATCAGTCTATATTTCAGTTTAAGAACTGTGCTTTTGAGTCTGCTTTGCTGTACATTAGATGCACCATTTAGTCGTAGAACCCTTGAATGTGTTGGATGTTTGTGTTTGTGTTGTGTGTAAATAGCCTGTAAATAGCTGCTCTCTATTTTTAGAGAAATATAATAAAGTGTTTACATTCTGTCCTTTTTTTTAGGATAAAACCTTTGACTACTACAGAAGAATTGTAAGTAAAATCTCTTTAAAAAGACTTTAAACTGGTTTGGGTTGTTTCTGTCTTCATTAATCATTTTAGCTCCGATCTTCCCTTTTAGATCATCTTCACACAGCAAGCCATCATGAGGCCAAAGGTCAAATCCACAGTGTCCCTCGGAGCGTAAGTCCAGCAGAAATAACAAAACAAAGTTTAAGCTCATGCATACTGTATCGTTTACCATTAAAGGGTCCATATCATACATTTTTCTTGTATTTTCTTTTTCCTATGAGGTTCTCTTATCGTGTTAGTGTGGCTTTATGTGCAGTAAACAGTTGTCATTTGTTTTTGCATGACTATTTTCCAACCTCTCTTTATCCTTTAGCATGGAAAAAGGCCGCTTTTGTTACTGCGCCTTTAAGATATGTAAATGACCTCTATTCTGATTGGCTGCCTTGTGTCAAGCTTCATTTAAAAGCAGTCCACTCCTTACAACTTCAGTGTGAAGCTAAACTGCTTGTGAGATCTTTTTGTAAAACTTTTTGTGAGATCACAAAAGCAGTGAATACAAAATGGGGTGTTTTTGCAGCTCAGTTTCCAGGTATGGACTGTATAGACTTGCATGAGATTGGTCCTTTAAATTGGCGTCTCTTTAAAGTGCCCATATCATGGAAAAACAAATTTTCCTCACTTTTCTGAAATAATAGTTTAATTTAGTATGTTTCACAATGTACAGTTCACTCCCCAGTCCATATATGTAAAGTAAGCTGCGAAAACAACCCGTTTTGCATTGATTGTTTCTGTGATGTCACAAAAAACAACACATTTACATATAGACTGCCTATTCAGTCTACTGGAGTTTAGCTCCGCCCACTCACAATGCAGTTATAAGGAGTGTTTCAGTTTTGAGTGCTTTTTAAATGAGTCACAGTACAGGACAGCCAGTCAGAACAGAGCTCATTTACATAAACAGCCTGTTTATTTCTAAGGGGTAAACGAGAGGTTGGAGAATGGTCTGTAAAAATGAATTATGGCTGTTTTTCCTGCATAAAATGCACACAAATTTTATAAATTGACCCCAGAAAAAAAGAAATAAAGAATAAATGTAGGAAATGCACCCTTTAAAGAAATATAACACCCATTTGTTGCCAGTAAAAACACTATTTAACATTAGAATGAATACAAATAAACATAAATACAGTAGTCAGTAGTCAGAATGTGTTGTTTTAGTGAAGTTATGAATGTGAAGGTTAGAAGTTATAACATAGGTTTGGTTCCTGACTGGCTGCGCTCCAGCCATCACATGGATTTGTTCAGTTCCACTACCAGATTTAACATAATGAAGTATTGATTAGATAAAGCTGATATTGGATGACAACTATACATAATACTGAGCTTCCAGGGCAGGAAATGGTTAAACACACACACTGACATACATAAAATCAGCATCACTAAATCACTAATTTACTTATTTTGCTGTATTGTATTGTATTGTATTGTATGTATTGTTGGTTGCCTTAAACGTTTGCACACTACTGTACATACGGTAGATTTTTCCATAGTAAATCAAAGCTGATCTGTTTGTTGCGGGTTTTTTTCAGGATCTTGAAGCACATGACAACATATAAAGACCATGACCCCTTCCTGGCCCCATGCCTACCCAGCAACCCCTGGCAGACCGACGACAGCACCTACTGGGACCTCAACATGAGGAAGTGAGATTATAGCACATGGGCTTAAAGGGGAACTCCACCAATTTTTCAAAATTACTCCTTAATTAAGTGGTTAAGATGTAAACAGAGTGGTTCAGAGTGGTTTGGTGTGAAACGCTCTGTTCTAGAGAAACTGACCGAGTCAAACTGTTCACAGTGGTGGTGATAGGAACCAGACGTCCACCTCTAAAAGCTCCCTCACAGAAAGTTACTACATGAAATGGTTATGAATTCACTGCCTGATGACTGAGACACTGTTTTATGATAGTTTTGAGAGGATTTAAGCCTTAAGGACATTTTTTAAGTCTGTTCATGGTGGAGGGATACATGCGCTACCAATAGCCTACCTGCTGTGGCTGTATGGACCTCTGAAGGGGCGGGGCTTCATATAATCAAGTCAAGGCTACCTTTATTTATACAGCACATTCAAAAGATGTTTAGTGTCGGCCAAAGTGCTGCACAGTAAAATCAACTAAAATAAAATGTGAATCTGATTAAATAAAAAGAACAATAACACCATGAATGAGAAGTTAAAACTGCACAATAAATTCAACAGGAAAAATAACATACAAATAAAATAAATTGAATAAAGCCTGTGTTTTAGATGGAAGGTGTTCAAGCTTTTGTGCTTGTGTTTTTCCACAGTGTTGAAATTCCCACGAAGATGAGAGTGGAGCGCTGGTCCTTCAGCTTCTTCGAGCTGCTGAATGACCCACGAGGACGAACTGACTTCAAAGTTTTCTTGAAGAAAGAGTTCAGCGGTGTGTGGATGTTTATCATAGACATCTTATAGAAATATTATATTATATAGTGGTCAGGTTAAGTCCAGCTCCTTGTTTCTACACTTATTGTCCATTTGATCAGTTCCACTGACCATATAGTTTCACTCTGTAGTTCTGCAGTTACAGACTGTAGTCCATCTGTTTCTCTGCATACTTTGTTAGCCCCCTTTTACCCTGTTCTTCAGTGGTCAGGACCCCCATGGACCCTCACAGAGCAGGTACTATTTGGGTGGTGGGTCATTCTCAGCACTGCAGTAACACTGACGTGGTGGTGGTGTGTTAGTGTGTGTTGTGCTGGTGCGAGCGGATCAGACACAGCAGTTTTTAAACACCTCAGTGCTGCTGGACAACAAAGTATGCAGAGATACAGATGGACTACAGTCTGTAACTGTAGAACTACAGAGTGAAACTATATGGTCAGTGGAACTGATTTAATGGACAGTAAGTGTAGATACAAGTAGCCGGTCAGTGTATGCTGTCTTATGCTGTGATTAGCCTGCTATGTGGTATTTCTTTAGATAGAACAAAGTATGTTCTGTATAACATACTATAACCTCTTTCAACAAACAGAGGATGGTCATTTTACAAGGCGGAAGTTATTTGTCTTTTTTATTGACCTGGAGATGACATCCCCCTGAATCCCCCCCTGCTCAAATCGAGCCCTGAATTTTGCTGATAACAGCTGTTGGAGGAAATCAGCAGGACGGATGGACTGATTTGATTTGTGTGTTTTGGTCTTGCAGGTGAGAACTTGGCCTTCTGGGAAGCTGCTGAGGAGATGAAGTGGGGAACAGCATCGTCCATCTCTGAGAAAGCGGAGACTATTTTCAAGTGAGTAAAATACGTTTAGCGTTTCATTAGTTGTTTTAAACAGGCGTAAGAACACAGCTTGACTTACGTATTACATTTTATATGGATCATATCTGTAGCACGTCATGCGCTACCCTGGGCACAAGGAGGACGCTGGAGGCAGGATTCACGTTTTCCGCAGCCAGTTTCCCTTCATTTTCCACTCCAAATGCACAAAAACAAAACCAAACAAAACCGACGCTAAGCTGCCCACTGTTCAGTGGCTTCTAGATAGACTTTTCAGTCCTTTTCTTCACTGGAGCTTTTCAGCTCTTCACTCGGGCTCTTCTGCTGCTGCTGCTCGTCCCTCTTTTTCTCTCTCTCTCTGTTCCCTCTCAGTTCTTTTTAAAAGGTGCTCAGGTGCTCATCTGGCTGGCAGCATGAGCACCTGAGCTGAGAGGGAATGAGAGCTCGTCGCTCTGCCTCCTCGTCCACCCGGATCAAACGTGAGGCTAATTAACGTGGCCTCACTGCGCGACCGGAAGCGGCGCCCAGGAGGCGGGGCTCGGGACTCGCACACCGTGCCCCCCTCACTTGCGGTGTTCCTCTCCCTGCCGTCCTCGTCAGGCTTTGTCCCCGATCAGAGCTCAGGCCCCGCCTTCCTGCCAGCTCTGCCGGCCGCCATCAGGGCCCGGTGGTCGGGCACACACCACAATATCCTACTGACCTGGTTCAAAGTCAGAGCTGAAACACATTGGGGACTTTTAAGCGATTTAGAGTTCAGACTAAAATCCTTTCACTCTGAGTGACTCTAAACCTTAATTATGATTATTTTATTAAAACGTTTAATCATTTATTGATGATTAAAACATTTCATTTTGTCACTAGCAAAACAATCATAACTCTACCCAAACTTTACCCGATGTTTCGGTGGTGACAGTTTTAGCTCATTTTGAGCTCAGAAACTCAGCAGTTCATGACCAGCAAACACAGCTTTGAACAGCTGTTCACACAGAAAATCATCATATTTTACATTAAAACACTAAAAAGTGCTGAACTGCAGAAAATATGATGATTCTTAATGTTCCACACTGACTTTCAGACTTTGGGACACATTCACTTCAAAACAATGGGATCTAACTGCTCACCATGTGGCCATGAGGGACAGGGATGCAGCCTCACTTCCTGCTCTAAAATGCAGGGGCATGGCTAAAACAAGGCTCCGCCTACTCACTAAAACCCGGTGTTTCGGTAGTGACATGAAAACGCGGGACAGTGTTTTTAATTTAGGAATTAAACTTAAAATTAAATATTTAAACTTAACTTTAAAGTATGTTTCATTTTTTGCATTTTTTTCAGGAGAATGGTTCATATACAGCTGTGTGCAAAAGTTTGTGCGCCCCTGGTCAAATTCCATGTTTTTCTTGTTTTTCTAAGTGTAAATAAGTGAACACATCCTCTACAGAGACACACTTCTGCACATTTGAATATACAATTATTGTTTATTTGCTGAACATATTGGTAAATACGCAATAAAATGTGGCCCGTGCAAAAATATGTTTCCCAATATGTTAGACTCAGCAAATAAATAGAAATTGTGGATTATTATAATGGATCGACAATGAATATTTTCACTACGGAGATGCACAAAACTATGTTTAGAGGATTTATTGTCCACTAGTATCATATAAACTGCTGATAATTATCAGCCTTATTAGCGCTGCAGGACAGATATCACTGTTATAGATCAAACAAGCTGGTTAAACAGCCCCTGAACTCTGAGTCTGTGTGCAGGACCTTTCTGGCCCCAGGAGCTCCGCGCTGGATCAACATTGACGGCCGGACGATGGGTCTGACGGTGAAGGGTTTGGAGCATCCTCACCGCTACGTCCTGGACGCTGCGCAAACTCACATCTTCATGCTGATGAAAAAGGTTTGGACGTCCATGTGGACAATTCTGTCCACCTAGTTTCATTTAATAGTCATAAAAAGGGAAAATAATGCTGTTTAACACTGTTTTAATCTGCATGGTGTTTGCAGGACACTTTCTACCGATATCTGAAGTCTCCAGTTTATAAGGACATTCAGAAAAAGGCCCTTTCACCTGCAGCGCATAACTTCACGTAAGTGTCTTTTAATATACAAGTGTATATATATATATATATATATATAGATAGATAGATAGATAGATAGATAGATAGATTTAAAGCAGTTTATCTGGGCAGTGTGTGTGTTTTTGCCAGTAAAACATCACATAACGTAATAAATACAAATAAACATGAATACAGTAAAGCATAGTTGGAGTCTTTTGTTTTAGATGAAGTTATGAATATCATTGCTGTTGCTGAACAAAACCGCATATCTCCAAAATAGTAACTTTACAGGAGAAGCAAAACACGTTCTTGACTTTCAATGTAAGTTAATGCAACAAGTTTTTATTCTAAGTCATTTTGGACCATCGTTATGAAATTTTGACACTAAGGCTCCGTCCCATTTCATCCCTCACCCCTACCACTCAGCCCTACCCCTCCATTTTGTGCATTCTTGTCTAGGGTTAGGGTGTCCCAATTCTTGTTGAGATAGAGGGGTAGGGTGAAGTGTTGGGGCTACATGACCCTCTAAACGGAGGTTTTTCAGAGACTCCAAACAGAGAGTTATGAGAAAAAAAGAAAAACCAGCAAGACGGCCAACAAGAGACCAAAGAAACCCACAAATGGGAGAATTTTCTCCGTTAAAAATTACGATAACCACTGTATTTTCTTAGTTTAATGTCGCTTCGGTGTATTATGGTCCTTTTCTTCATAACAAGCATAAAAAATCGCTAATATTACGCTGATGTCTCGGTAGCTGACCAAATTCACCATCACAAGGTGGAACGGGAAAAAATTCGAACGAGAATCTGGTGAATATCTGACTTCAGCTTCATATCACTGAAGAATCAGGGGTGGGTGATAATAAATAATTGCCCCCTCTTTGAAGGCATATGATGCCCTAAATGTAACTAAAGCCCAGCAGTGAGGAGCTGAACTTTACCCTCCTCTGCTGTCACTGCAGACTGGCAGGGTCGCCTGCAGAGCAGCGCTGGTAGCTGTTAATGAAGTGATGCTCTTTTTATTTGAGGGTCGCATTTCAGAGGGAAGATTTCAACCACTACCCTGTAACTCAGTTCCAAGGGGTTAGGGTGACACTCGAAAACAAGGGGTAGAGTAAAAAGAAGAAATGGGACTGGGCCTAAAGGGCAGCTGGTTAGAAGACGTCTCGCTGCACTCTAGTCATCGCATGGATTTGTTCAAAGCAGCAGCACCTGACTTCATTTAATGAAGCACCATATAATCAGCCTATGGATTTAGCATAAGAAGAGACTGTACGCCTGCAGGAGGGGAGAGAACTCTTAAACGTGGGCTGGAGCTCTGAGCAGCTTCTGCTTTAAGCGAGAGGGCCAGACCCTCGATTTGATGACTGTTGGTTCTTCCACAACAAACCCACCCAGTCAGGCCTTTATGGAGCTGCTCTGTGCACTGAGACTCAGTCATGCTGGAACAGGAAAGGTTCTTCCCCAAACTGTTCCACAAAGTTGGAAGTGTACAACTGTCCAAAATGTCTTGGTGCTGAAGCATTAAGATTTCCCTTCACTGGAACTAAGGGTTCTAGACCAACCCCTGAAAAACAGCCCCATATCATCATCCCCCCTCCACCAAACTCTACAGCTGGCACAGTGCAGTCAGGCAGGTAACGTTCTCCTGGCATTCACCAAACCCAGACTCGTCCATCAGGCTGACAGATAGAGAAGCTGATTCATCACTACACAGAACACGTTTCCACTGCTCCAGAGTCCAGCGGCGGCGTGTTTTATAAGTTTGCGAGGTCTGTCGTGGCTGAGCTGTTGTTGCTTCTAGATGTTTCCGTTTAACAATAATAGCACTTACAGTTGGCTGGGGCAGCTGTGACTTGTGGCAGAGGCGGCATCCTACGACAGTGCCATGTTTAGTCTCTGAGCTCCTTAATGCGACCCATTCTACTGCCAGTGTTTGTCTATGGAGACGGCAAGGCTATGTGCTTAACTTCATCCACCTGTTAGCAATGGGTGTGGCTAAAACACCTGGACTCAATCATTAGAAGGGGTGTCCCAATACTTTTGTCTGTATAGTGCATATTTACTGTGCTGTAGCTGTGAGTAAAGCCTGCACTCTTTTCTCCGCAGTCCTTCTCAGCTGGAGCAGAACGCTCGGAACCGCAAACCAGGCATCCATCCCATCATCACCTGGCAGCAGGAGGAGGAGGAGAGGGCCAAAGCAGCCGCCGCCGCCGGACCCATTGACATTAAAAAACTGATGGCCAGCAAACTGGACCGTAAATAGAGAGGTGAAGGCGGGAGGACACTGCAGACAGAATTTCAGGTTAAATAATCTGAAATAGCTCAAAACCTCAGTAGGAAGTCTTAAATGTGAGAAAACCTTGTACCTCTAACATGGTAACTTTACTGAAGAAGGAAGAACCATCTGTTAACATAATTAAAGATAATTGAGTGGTTTAAAATTTTCTCATGAAAAGTTCTCATGATCTAAAGGGCAGCTGGTGTAAAAAGAAATGAAAAGTGGGAGTTTTATCGGTGAAACGTCCTGCCAAAAATGTTTGTATGATTGTCTGGAGTTTGTGTGATTCAGACGGACTGTAGCTGCAGTTCTACAGCAGGTATTTGTTGCTGGACTGACATTTCTGTAAATATGACAATGCAGTGACTCTAGTGGGAGCGCAGCGCTGTGCATAAGTCTGACCTTTCATTCATTTCATTTCCAGTCAAAACAGCCTTTAAGCATTAGGTTATTCATTTTTATGGAGATATTTGTGAGAAGATTAGATGTAATATAGTCCACTTGCATATCAAAGTGAAAAGAACAGGAGTTCACAGAGAAAATGTGGCTCCTAACAACCACCTGGATGACCTGCTAGACCCCAAAACTGCCCCCATCAGATAAACAGCACTTAAAGCTTTCATCTCTGAGAGAGAGGAGAAAATCAAGCTGCTTCAGATCTGAAAACATCCACAGGTGTTTCTGTCCATCCTTCCACTGTGAGAAGACGACTCAGCGCTGTGGGTCTGAAAGGATGTGTAGCTGATCAAGAAGAACCTCACTGAGAAAAGGAGACGGACACATCAAACAAAGAAGCTGAACGATGGACTGACCACCCCAGAGTCCAGACCTCAACATCACTGAATGTGTTTGATTACTTCAGAAAATCATCAACCAGCTTCTAAGACTGAACTTTGGAGGTGTGTCTGCAGATTTCTGTTGTTATTCCATGAATAACTTGTACTTAATAGCCGTTATGACTGGAAATGAACTAAATGGGTCTCTGACTTTCGCACAGCGCTGTATAAAGTACATTAAATAGGCTGTTTTATGTGATTCATACGTTCAGTGTTGTATTCTGTATCAGGCTTATTGTTTGTGTATTATGGGTGTGAAAAAGCTGAAAATATTTCCTTTTTACATTCACTACATCCCACATCACAGCTGTATCAAAGGGCCAGTGTCATGGAAAACCACAGTTTCCACACATTTGTCATATTTTTAGCTTTAAAATGTATGATTCCTCTTCTGTAGTCCATACAGCACTGCTGTCTGAACAAAACCTTGTATCTCCAAAATGGTAACTTTACAGGAGAAGGAAAAAACATACTTTACTTTTAATGTAAGTCAATGGAACCAGACTTTTTTCCAAGTCATTTTGGGCCGTTTCTTTTGGTCCATTCGTCATGGAATTAGCACACAATGTAAAGGGCAACAGGCATTTTTAAATTATGGCAAAAAACTGAAAAAAGACAAAAATGCAGATTCGATGTTTTGTTCCGACAGCAGCAATATGTTACAAAAACAGGCCGTTTTGAGTTCGCTGTTTTTGTGATGTCACAAAAACGAACACATTTATATATCTGCCTGTTCAGCATTCAGCAGTTTAGCCCCACCCATTCACTAAAAAGTGGGCTGCTTTTTACAGCCAATCAGAGCAGCACTCCTTTACATAAATCAGTCTAAAAAGCCCAGTAGCAAAAACAGCCTAGAATAAAAAAAAGAACTTAAAAAATGAAGAAAAAAAATAGAAATTATCTGTGACTGTTTTTAGTACCAAAAACACATAAATGTCATAATTGGACCCAGAATTAAATACAAACAGACTAATGCAGATTTAGGCCCTTTAATGTTGTCACTCTTTCACTAACGACCCAGCAAAGCCCTTAGATTGTGCTTGTTTAAGGTTCTGTCTTGTTCTTGTTCTTGTTTGTGCGTGTTCTGTACATATGATTGATCTCTAATCACCAATAAAGATCCATAGCTCATTATGGCTTACAGTAATGTTGTTACGCCTACACTCTTAACAAAGATCTCAAAGGGTTCTTTAGTAAAGACAGTGGTTCTGTATAGATCCATGAACACTCAGAGAACAATCTGAGTGTGATATTAGCCCTTTAACACATTTTTGAGAGATCCAGTTGCAAAACGGCCCAATTAGTGAATATCAAATATCATTGTACTACATAATGACACGAGGAAGTGCAGAGATTGAGGTCATTTTGCAGCTAACCGATTCACACGGAGCCCAAATGTTATATTTTAATACTTTATTTTTTTCCAGTATAAGAAAACAATCATCCCAAAACATATTTATACATAATATATTATTTCTACAGCCTTTTATGTGTTAAAAAACCTTGAACTTCACCCCAAAAACAACCCGAAAACAAAATAAAGCAAAACAAAAGGAAGGAATTAGTACTATTTGGCCATGCCGGAGAGCCAGCCCAATTTAAAGAGGGAGGGGCCAGCGGGTTCTTCATCCTGATTGGCTAACTGCCTGAAAAGGTTTCCCGGGCAGAAGGTGTCTTCTGGGGCTGGAGTGGACGAGGGAGCTGCCTAAAAAACGAAAGAAAAAAGAAATAAAAAAAGAGCACAGACTACAGGTATAGATATATAATGACAGGATTAAAGCGATAAGTAAACAAAAAAAGTCCAGTTTAGATCATCCCAAATGTGCTCGATACGGGTTTGGTGTCTGAAGTTTGCTTCTTTAGTCAGTAATATCACTCCAGCAGGTTCAAGCCAACGTCATTCAGCTCATGTGCCGACACTTGTCTTGGTTTTTCTTTGAGAGTTTTACGCTAATTCAGTCATTTTGTTTGAGTTTCCCATAAATTTGTGATACATTTGTGTTGGGCTAACGATATACAGGGTGTCCCAAAAAAATGACATCATTTGAGATGTGAGTATCTGAGTACCTACATGTCCTGGCAAACGAAATTAAATAGGCTTCATGTTGAACAATACAAGATTTAGTTATTAAAACTCGAACAAGAAATTCAGAGGGATGTAGATTTTATAACCGATTTCAAAGCTTTACAAATGTAATATCTTCCGATACTGGTGGTCCAGATCCCTTTGCGCTGCACAGACAGCCGTCCTCTTTGAGTTTTTTGTGCCGCGTCCAAATCTGCTTTCCAGTTGGTGCATTTTTAGTGAATTTTCTGAAAAATGCTGCTGCTCACACTCGTTTGACTGTGTTCGAGCATATTCTAACACACACAACGCCTTTTCATTTCTAGTGAACGCCGTTCTTCACCCTGAAAAACATTAAGAATTAAACTTAAAATTTGAGATCATTTGAGGGAGAGTTGGCTGTTATTAGACTACAAAATGAGGCCAATTTTTTTGGGACACTCTGTATATTAAGCTTTAGGCTAAAACAAACTGGTTTGAACACATTTAGAGATTCACAGGGTAAATTTTACACAAACTACAGCTGATGTGGCTCTGGGTAAACTAATGGGTTATGTAGACATACAGCTCAGTTAACTAACCCTTAATACGGGGGGCTTTATGTGTACATTTACATTACATGTGCAGGAATAAAACCTTAAACTGAGCATAATAAAAAGCTTTACACTAAAACAAACTTTAGTTTTTGAACGTATACCTGCTGAAAAACCCACAGAACCCATTAAGAGTTTCTTTTGGTTTCTGATGGTTTCACTATGTGTTTTGGTTTATGGTTTAACCGTCATATTCGTCATAACTTTCATATTTCATAAGCTACATTCTAAAGGTGGGGGTCGAATGAGAGCTGTAACTGTCTTCTTTCCAGTCAAATAGATGGGTGATGTAATTTTAAAGCTGAACTCTTTTCTACTGAAAGTCGACCCATTTTTCCACAAATCTGGGCTATAAACTATAAACAGATGGCGTCTCTTCAGTGATCTGCTCTGTAAAAATGATTTTTATAAAATAATACAAAGGGTTTCTAAGATTTTTGGCTTTCCCCAGTAAATTGTAAGCATAAAGCAATATGTGTGATCATAAAACACATTTTCTGTTAATGTGAGGGGAACTTTTACCAAAATAAATAAATAAACAAAATAATTTACATTTATTTCATGCAGTTACTGAATAATTTGCCTTATGATTTGGTCATGTAAATTCAGATGGGCAAACCAAAATATACCCTGATCAATAAGGGGTTAACAGTGGTTGATTGGTATATTGTCAGCGGTCTGATTGGTAATACGCATGGCGACACAGACAACCAGCACAAACACTCACTGTTTCATGTATCGGAGACGTTGTAAATGAGGAGATCGGCCACTGGTTGTAGTATGAGTGTGACGCTCTTTCCTATAAGGACTTTGTTTACGTGGCACAGTCGCGCTGTCCTACTGCGCATGAGCTCCACTGGCCTGAAACCGCTGGAGTGAAACTGTGGGTGTAAATCTGCAGCTATGACTCGGACCCCTCTCTCTTTAGTTTCAGCGCTGGAGCTACGAGGCTGGAATGAAAGCCACACCCCACACATTAATTAATAGACTTGATTATGCGTTTCTGACGCTGTTAATCTATAAACATGGCCTAAATACGCATGAACTTAGTCCATACCAGTGAGTCATACAGCGTCAGAAACCACATAATGAAGTCTACTAGAGATACTAAACACCTCCACACAGTTGGAGGCATTTAGGCCTGCAGCTAGCACCATGCTAATTGGTGGGGTATAAGCTTTTTATCACTTCTTAGCTACATTAGCCTTGTAGCTCTGGTGCTAAAACTAAGCAAGCAAACTTCAGACACCAAACATGTCCTGGCTGATGGAGGTAAGGAGGAAACTGTTCAGCTGAACAATCGCTTTAAGGCTTACCACAGCTGAGAGATACAGTTACAGCCATTATGTTTATAAGAGGGTAACTGACTGACTGAGGAAGCGTTTTTATGCACCGATCAATAAGAGAGGGCTCGAAATTAACGGCTGCCCAGTTGAACTAGACAGCATTATTGCATATTGTGACGTTGTTTACCACAGTAACCATTAATATTGTCATATTTCCCAGCCCTCCTATTTAGTATTTGGAGGATTTGTCCTTTTTTAAGCCACAAAAATGATTATCTAAGTACTGTTCAGTTGGCTACTTGCCTGATTTCAGTTCATTTGTGCCGTTATTGTTTATTAAAACATCCCCTACTGGATACAATTCAAACTGCAGTAATAAACGTACTTTTACTTTTAATTATGGCTAATTATGTAACACAAATACAACTGTTTTTAATAGCGCTTGTGAATCAGCATTCAGGTGCTCATTTAGAAACACCAGTGAGTATCTGAGGCCTGTTAAATACTGTTTGGGGCAGCCCTACAAAACGGGATACAACTCAAATCCTAGGCAAATCTCGTCTCCAGGCTTTTATTTTACTGTTCTGTTTAAAACATTCGGTTATGAAAAGGAACAAATACGAACTTTTCACCTGGAGAAACATATTTAAGGTTCACAATCAGACCTTAAAACCACTGTTGGAGCTTTGAGGGAACATTTACACTGTTTGTACCTTGATGAAGTAAAAATGTATCTGCACTGAACCTTTATTTCTAACAGTGTACTGTCTAAACTGTTTAACTGTGGAGTTAAATCTATAAATAACCTCTCCACTTTACAACATGACCAACAAAGTGACCGCTCTTTCAGATTCAAACGCCATTAAATAACTGTTAAAACAAAGATGGACTAAAAAAAAAAAATGTGGTCAAAAAATGATATTGTCATCTTTGGCAAATAAAGCCTGATGCATATTTGCCAAACCTGGCAACCACTTTTAAGAGTTAGCATAAAGCCCAGTAGAGCTGTTGGTCCTGCATAATCCGATATTCCTGAGGTGAACGGCCAATCAAAAGGTGCTTTTCACACTCGGTTAAAGCCTGGAACTTTCAGCCAAAGCTGAGCCAACAGTGGTTTAGTTTTAGGGCCAGAAGATGCAAATGCAAAGTTCTCGCAAAAACCACACTGCAAGCAGAACCACAGCAAAACCACACAGCATTATAACATCACCGAGATCCTCCAGATCCACCGGCTCACCTCCTCCAGACTTCACAACTCAAAACTGAAAAATGCAAAGCAGGAAACTGCTGGTTTGAAGAGGCACGAGAAGATAAAGTTCATCACAGCTTGACCTTCACACTGTAATTCTGCTTTATGAAGAAAGGATCCTGCATGTCTGAGTGGGCCCTGTTTTCATACGATACACACTAACAGCCTGGTTTACACTTACGAGTGGTTTAGTGATGTCTGTCGCTCGAGATGTTGATTTGGCTTTCCTGGAGTTGGTCATACTCAGCGGCAGCAGACCAAACCTAACAGACACACAGCAAAAGAGGAGAACAGCAACAGTGTTAGAAGTTACATAATCAGAACATGTATCATTTTAACTTTGAAAGCTATTATAAGTAAAAATACATATGGACAAGATTAGATCTTAAAGGGGAATTCCACTTTTTTCCAAAATTTGTCCGTAATTAAATGGTTAAGATGTAAACAAAGTCACTGAGAGTCAGAACTGTTCACAGTGGTGGTGATAGGAACCAGATGTCCACCTCTAAAAGCTCCCTCACAGAAAGTTGCTACATGAAATGGTTATGAATTCACTGCCTGATGACTGAGACACTGTTTTATGATAGTTTTGGGAAGATTTTTGCTTAAAATACACCGTATATATACTGTAAAATATACGTCACTGTCCAATATAAAACAAGTATCTCCAAAATGGTAACTTTACAGTAGAGGGCACTGTAGCTCTTAATATAAGTTAATGTCAAGAGATTTTATTCCAAGTGATTTTGGAGCATTTCTATTGGTCCATTTATCACGAAATTTTTTACATGATGTAAAGGATAGCTGCCGTGTTTAAATTATGCAGAAAAATAAAAATCAGCAAAAATGGAGATACATGGTTTTCATTGGACAGCGACAATGTTTCATAATCCACTTATGATATAGCAAAATAGTCCCCAAAGAAAACTTATTATTTCAGATTTTCCACTATTTTCCATCATCAACATTCCATATAAACTCAGAAGACTTGTGTAGGTTCACTGGTGGTTCTGGATAGCAAATAAAATGTCTATATTTGTGTTGTCGTCATGGCGACCCCTGGTTCCTATCACCACCACTGTAAAGACATCTGAACCATTTCACACCAAACCACTCTGAATCTCTCTGTTTACATCTCACACACTGAGTTATGGGAGAAATTTGAAAATTTGAAGAATATAGTTTTAGGTCTGATCTTGAATCAGAGTTGACAGGCAGCTTCACTGAGGAGCTGCCACTTAAGATTACAGGCTGTGATTGGACGTTTATTACAGCCACACCCCCTTTCTTCAGAAGAGGGCTGTGATTGGACAGTGACTGAATGATGGATTATATACTTCTGACAGAAAGTCAGTATTTAATTCTAAAACAGAGAATTTAAACAAAAAAAAATGCATTAAAGAGATATTAAGCAGCAGAGCACTGAGGAATAATAAAGACTGTCCCTCAGTTTTCTGCACAGAACTAACAGTAATGTCATTTTCGTTTTGAATATCAGGGTTTTTCCACTGTTATGACTGACCGTCTGGTTTAAATATACTATAACTTTGCAAACACTACACTGTTAGAAATAAAGGTACATTTTTACTTCATCAAGGTACAAACAGTGTAAATGTTCCCTCAAAGCTACAACAGTGGGTTTAAGGTCTGATTCTGAACCTTAAATAAGTTTCTCCAGGTGAAAAGTTCGTATTTGTACCTTTTCATAACCGAATGTTTTAAACAGAACAGTAAAATAAAAGCCTGGAGACGAGACGGGGTGTGTGGAGTCAGTACAGCTTAGAACATATCATTTCAGTGGATTATGGTTCAGTTATGTTCCCTGACTAAAGGTACTGAGATGGAGCCTTGAGGGTTCCACCCCAGTGACAAGAGGGGAACTGACCCAGTGACAGTCTAGTACCTTTATTTCTGAGAGTGTAAAAATGTCGATGACTTTCTTTTATGTAAAACACAGTGGAGTCTTCAGAATGGAGCTCACAGAGCTGTAAACATGCTCACCGGATCTGGCTGCTGGCCAGAGGAAGGATGTTGTACGGTTCCTGAGAGCCGACGCTGCTGCTTCTGGGAGCAAACTGCTTCTCTGTGCCGGTTAAAAGGCCTAAAAGCACCTGCAGATTACATGACGTTCACGAGAGGAACGGTGAGATACGATAACAACATCACAGCGTTACGGTGCAGCAGCATATTCAACCGGAAATGAAGCGAAAGACGTCTTCAGCTCGTTACGGGAACAACTTCATAATTTCGACTTCAGATGACGGGATCTGCGGCTGTTTATCAAAGATCAAGTCAAAAATATCTTCACACATAATCAGTTTTGACGTTGGATGTTTTTGGTGTTTTTTTCTCTGCGGAAACGAACAAAACATCCTGATTGACACTCTTAGCAAAAAGGGCTCTATGTAGTACCAAAAAGGGGTTTATTGGCTTGTAACAATATTGGACCCCCTTTTTAGTGTTAAAAAGAACCCTTTTTAAAAATAATCTATATAGAACCATCTACAGCACCTCCTTTATCAATCTGAAGAACGCTTTCACGATGCACAGAACCCTTTAATCATGCCAAGAGTTCTTTGAGTGTTCATGGTTCTATATAAAACCATGCTCTTCACTAAAGAACCCTTTAAGAACCATCATTAAGAGTGTAGAGCCGTACATTATATTCAGTATATACATCAGATAGAGGTGAATAAATGCAAACGTAAGTTTATTAAAGCGGCTACATTTTTATTTAATATTTATTAGCTAAATGATGGGAGCTGGTATATAAGAATAAAATTAATATAAAATGAATACGCTCTTAAAAAGGTGGTTCTTTAGTGAAGAAAATGGGTCTATTAGGAACCATGAACACTCAAACAATCCTTTGCGTGATTAAATTGCTCTTTGTATGATGAAAGGGCTCTTCTGATTGATGGATTATATATAGCACCAAAAAGTTTCCACTATTGTTACAAGCCAAAGATCCCTTTTTGGTACTACACGGAACCCTTTTTGCTAAGAGTGTAGTTAAGTGGTATTTCCTGTGTTACCACACTGAATGTTAAGGTGGAAAGTGTTCAGTTGTAAATATTTACTCATAATTTTACTAAGTAAAGCGTTAAACTGTCTGGAAACTCCCTCTGCTTACTGAGGTTCTCTGGGTGAGGCGGTTCAGGTTGCTGTTGAGATGCGGGGTGAACACGTCCAGGTCAAAAGGGTCAATGTGACCCTCCAGTGAGTCACAAATCTGCTGGATCCTAAAAAATAAAAGGGAACAGGCGCAAAAGCATCACAAGGTGAGTGATGTGGAGGAGGTGAAGATAATTCTACTGTTTCTAAACGTCGACACGTCCAAACATCAGGGAAAAGACATTTAAACAGTGATTAAAAAGCCACACAGGACGTTTCATGAGTTCTGGTTGGTGTTTGAACCTGTGCTGTAGAGAAGAAGAGGTGAAAGGTGAAGTGTGGGGGTACCTGGGGTCCTGCTGCGATCGGGAGCTTTTCCCCTCCTCCAGCCGAGAGCCCAGAGTGGCTGAGAGGAAGCGCAGGTCAAACAGCAGCTGCAGTGCTCTGTTCTGAGTGATAGGGGGCGCTGCGTCCTGAAACAGACAGAGGGATTTACCAAACTTGAAAAAGGAGAAGGGGAGGGAGGTCAAAAGGAAAAAGTAGTGAGAAAATCAGAAAAAAAACGAAAGAAAAAAAAAACAAAGCCAAAGACAAAAAAAAAAGAAATTGAGAAAGAAAATCAAAAGAAAAGAGAATAAAGAACAAAGTAATGTAAAAGAAAGAAAAATAAGAAAATAGAAAGAAAGTTTGTTTATAGAGCACATTTCATACACAAAGGCAGTTCAAAGCATTCCATATAAATAAAAGCAAAAGTAATTTAAGGTAAATAAAAACAAGAGTTAAAAATAATTACATTTAAATAAATTCAGTGAATATAAAGCAACAAACACAGTGAAAGAACAGAAATAACTAAAGGAAGCTAAAGAGCAGTAGCTAAAGAAAGAAAGAACAGAAGAATCAGAAAACAGGGAAATAAATTAGAAAACAGAAGCTAAAATAAAAGAAAAACAAAATTAGAAACAATGAAGTAAAAAAGAAAAAGAACTGAAGGTCAGGAATGAAGCCGTAAGGCGTCTCTGCTGGGCTGTGGGCTCACCTTGCTCTCTGAGCGCTGAGTGAGCTTCTCGTACTCGGTCAGCACCTGATCCATGCAGCCCCTCAGCAGCTCCAGCAGAGTGACCTTCGGCAGAGCGTGACCTCCGACCCTGTTCGCCTCCAGACACAGCCGGAACAGCAGAGACTGAACGTACCACGACGGCTGAGGAGAGGAAAACAACAACAACAAAGTTGATGCACATTAATCACTGTATTAGTAATATTGATGCACATTATTACTGTATTAGAGCTGGACTGGTTTACTAGAGACGGCCCTGCAGTGAAAGTCTGTAAGGAATTCCACTCGCTGAGTCATACATAATAAATCTGACTGATCTGATTGATATTGATATTCCCAAATTACCCCAGATAGACCATCTAAACATCATCGAGCCAGGCGTTCAGGTCAGCGTTAAGATTAAAATTATACTCATAATTTATCAAATGTCGTTTAACAGGACTGACTGCCTCACATGAGGCGCCTTTAAGATTAAGTTTCATTTTTCTTCTATTTCTAAATTATGTCATCACCAAATATGTTGTGGATTACAGTAGCTCTGTTTTGAAGGCGTGGATAAAGTAAACACGCCTAGTCGGACTCAGTTGTCTTCATCTCTCAGCCGGTGCTGCCGTCTATTAGCAGGTCTTTGTTATTACATTACAGTGAAGTCGATTTAGAACAGGAGTACTATTACTGAGGGATGAGGGAGCGCCGGGTTCAGCAAACTATTTCAGATATTTCTCCCTGGAATAATAAAATAATAATAATAATAATAATAATAATAATGATAATAATAAGTCATTCCATTCCTTATAATTAGCAATAAGAACAATAAAAAATACTTTCTTTTTTGATATGACATCTATTCTGGCTGTTAATAGCCTTTTTTATTTTTTATTTTTTTATTTATTAAGATATTTTGTTTTCACCTCTGTCTCTTTTAAGCATCAGACATCTGCTGTAGTTAATATCCAGATTACAGTGACCTGTAGACTAAATGCGCACACAACCTGTAAGCTACTGCATGCAGTTGTTTATATGTATACACAAATACTAAACTCCTAATAATTAAAACAATTATTAAAATAATTATTAAACTATTAAATAATTGTTAAAATAACGTAATGATAATAAAGTAGTCACCCAGAGATGGGTGGGTAAGCTTGGGATTATAAATAAATAAATATATACTAACAAACCAAATAAACACATACATACATACATACATACATATGTACGTACATACATACACACTTAAATAAAAAAATAGTTTACTTTATAACTTAGCAGACTACGGACACTGCAGACGCTCCCCATGGAAAACTAATTCAGCTCCAAAAGGGCTTTACATTCTAAAATAAATAGTGATGGGACATTACCGTGTTCGATGATACACGGCAGTATAAAAATCAATGATGACCACTTTAAACTCCAAACAGCCCGGTACAATTATTGCCTTAAAAAAATATTAAAATGTCGGCCTCGCAGAAGTTAATAGTTCTATTGCTGCAGTTCCCACCCTGCGACGCGTTTACACAGTAAAGGCTGCAGTGCAGTAACTTCACATCCAACTACACCACAGTGGAGTTTTGGGGTTATAATGAAATACAAGCTGTTCAATGAAACGTCTATCAGTATAATAACTGTAGTGAAATGATTTCAAATCTACATCACTGGTTTGCAAAACATGCCAGTGCACACGACAATAATACAGAATACTGTGAGACGTTCACTGATATTAACAGTGTCCTGCTGAGGTGTTTACCTGTACAGGCAGGTGGATTTTGGACATGATGGTGTTTCCTGTCTCCGCCTCCTCTTGGATCTCCAGCTCCTCCCAGTGCGTGGCAGTGGCCAGGACAGAGCCGGCCGAGCCAGCGTGGAGAGAACCCGCAAAACTGCCCAACAGTGCCTAACACAGATCACAAATCCCCAAAAATGTAAACATTATATATTCATTTTTTTATCTTTATAATCTTTATTTTTTACTTTTTTTTTAAAATTAATATTCAGAATGAAGTTCTAATAAAATTAATAAACAGAATGGAATTCCAATGAAATTAACATCCAGAGTTAAATTCTAATAAAATTAAATAAAATGAGGACCCAGAATGCCTGGTATTTTAAGAAATTATTGTAAATATAACCTTATAGTATGTATATTATATATATTTATATATTATATAACATTTAATGACTTCTTCGCTTTCCTGAAAACTTTACTTATTTACCTTTTTTTTAACTTTTTTTTTTATTATTTATTTTATTTTTATTTCTTCTGGTTTTGTTTACAGTCCAGTTTATAGTATTTCAATCTACACTGTCTAGCAGTAACAGCACTGATATATATGACGAATGGGTATCATAAAGTCGTTATAAAGTCGGACTATGGTGACAATCGTGTAAACTGGACAGTAAACAGTAAACAGGTGACGTATCTTCAGAATCTGAGTGGTCAGTCTGACCTTGGACACAGCGCTGCTCCAGATGCGGTACGCCTCCATACTGCAGGCCAGCAGCTCCTCCTTGAGTCCGGCCCATTTCGCCTGAGTTGGACTAAGCTCCGTCCCTTTGACCGCACCTCCTTTGCCCAGCTTTTTGCCCTGCCGGGGGGTTCCTCTGCCCGCAGCATCCACAGCGCCGCCCTGCTGGCCCAGCACGCACTGCCTCAGGCTGGGACACAACTCCCCCAGAGACTGACACAGCCGCGCCATGAACAGCGCTGAGCTCATTCGGCCCGAACCGGCGGGGTCGGCCTGCAGCCCGGTCAGCTCGGAGCGAACGCTGGACAGGATGTCCCTCACGCAGGCAAGGCAGTGCGCCCTCAGAGCCTCCTCCACAGCGCCGGAGTCTGTAAAGCGGTTGAAGGAGGGCGTGGCCGGCGCCAGCGCGCTCTCAGACTGATCCTTCGCAGCCGGTTCTGGAGGTAAATAGTGCTGCAGGTCCTCCAGCTTGACCTTCAGCTTAGAATCAAGGGCAGAGCAGAAACTCTGGACGCAGGGTGTGAGGGCCTGGGTCTTCATGGACAGACCGCTCTTTGCCTGAGGATACAGCTGCACAAAACAAATATCAAATCAAACAAAATATCAGGAATATATGATGCAGAATAAATATCATCCAGAACGAAGTTCTAATAAAATTCATCTTCTTATTGAAATTCTAATAAAATTATCATTCTGAATGAAGTTTTAATAAAAATTAACATCCAGAATGAAGATCTAATAGAATAACGAATGAAGTTCTAATAAAATGAAATCAAGAAATTATTGTTAATAGAACATTATAGTACATTATTTAACATGTAATAACTTCTTGATTTTCCCCAAAACTTGAACTATTAAACTTGAACTACTTTACAGTATTTCACTCTACACTGTATAAATTATTACTGAATAAAATTAGAGCAATTTTATATCTATATGTGGTGCTGTGTTACCTGCGGGCCACGCTGGGACACGCTGACCCACGCCGCGTCGCTCGGCAGGTCTCCCTGAGACTCCGTCCACAGAAACGCAGCCACATCGCTCTCGAACTGGGCGCCCCGGCCGAACACTCCGGACTGAGACTGAGCCTCCAGGTCCCGCAGGGCGGAGGACAGGAGCTGCCTGGAGCTGCTGGAGATCCCCTCCATGCCCTCCTGGGTGATCGCCTGCAGACACACCACCAAACATCAGCAAACCACATTACACTGCGGTTACACTCGACCCTGCAGCCCTCTGTCCTCTTACTGCACTCAGAATATCTGTTCACAAAATATGATCTGACACATTCAAAAGTTTGGGCGCTCCAGATCAAATGACCTGTTTTCAGGGTTGGGCAATATAATATTACACAACGGTTAGTTCTGGCCACGCAAGCTGATTGGTTGAGAAGATGTTATTTCGCCATAACATCAGGTTTATTCACAAACACTGTATCACTCCGCTGAGACGCCGTTTCTAAGCAACGACTCTGACAGCTGTAGGAGACGCTCAAGACATCTGAACGTTTTTACTTCTTACTTTGCCACAAACAGAAAATGGACACTTTTAAGATCACATTTGACCGACAGCCGATTTGGTCAGACTCTGAAGATGAGACGACACTAAACTCCCAAACTGTCATCACCACTGAGCAGCTTTTCAGTCGGCAGCTGTGACAGAAGAACAGCTGAACAACCTGGAATCAGGACCCAATACCATTCGCCAAACGTGTAGTCTGATCTTCAGAGTCTGACCAAATCAGACTGAGCCATAAAACTGCCGCAATAAAAAGCTGCTCAGTGGTGATGACAGTTTGGGAATTTAGTGTAAGGAGCTGGAGAACGAACTGCCGGCTGTGCAGCGAGTGGGCGGAGCTCGTTACTCTGACGTAGCAACAAGCTGCTCGTTAAGGAACTATAATTTGGTGAAGGATCTGCGAACATTAAAACATATTAAACGCCGCGTTCACGGCCCAGTTTATTAATTTATTACTGTATTTATTTAACTGTTGTATTAAAGCAGTAGAACACTCGAGGAGTGTGTTATCACCAATAACATCACGGCTGTGATGATCTACGGCGACCAAATCACAGCCGTGATGTTATTTCTCAATAACACACTCCCTCTCGGGTTCTACCGCTTAAATATTTTATTGTTATCGTGAGAAACTGTCACAGTATGTTCTTCTGAACATACCGTGGATGTCATACGGACGCCTGTTTAACTGGATTTGGTGCAGTGCGGTTTTCGATGAGCTGTAACTCATCTAACAAACAACAAACTGTGTCTGCACTGACACTCTGAGCCAGTCAAACCAGTGACATCCGCAATAAAACACTGCAGACACTGGGTGTGGCAGGTAGGCCTGTGACAACTGTGAACCTACAGCTAGACAATTTAATGACCACATAAATAACTGTGATTAACAATTTAATAGTGTGTTTTGTTCACTGTATTCATTATAAGTACACTGACGTGCCAAAAGTTACGGAACAGGGACCAGTATTGTATCGGACCCCCTCTAGCCTGGCAAAGTGCAGCAACTCGACGTGGCATCGATTCAGCAAGTGGACGGAAGGCGTCTGGAGGGATGTTGAGCTGTGTCGTCTGGACAGCCACCCACAGCACTGCGGTGTTTGTAGGTGCAGGATCTCTAGTGTGAACAGATCTCTGCACCACATCCCATAAATGCTCGACGGGGCTCATATCAGGCGCACATGCAGACCACAACATTCGTCAGAACTCTCCAGAAGAGTCCTCGAATCAATTCTGGACAGCTTGGGCCTGATGGCACAGTCCATTACCCTGCTATAATATTCCATCGTTTTGGGGGTACATGAAGTCCATGAAGGGCTGCACATGGTCCGCAAGAAGTGAACCGTAGCGGTCACCAGTCAATGACATGTTTAGCACCCCACACCACTGAACCACCACCAGCCTGCAGAGCCTTCTTGACAACTGGGGTCCATGGCTTCATGGGGTCTGCGGCAATCATGAACCCTACCATCAGCCCCAAACAATCAGACCATGCAATGTTGCCAGTCCTCTAGGGCAGGGATTCTCAACTTGTTTCTATTCTTTTGGCTTCTCCTCCCTTTTTTAACGTTTCTGCAAACGTATCATTTAACACAACTGCAAATTCTGGGACCTGTGATGGGGACCAGAACCAAAATGGAGGGTCTGATCTTTTTCAGGCCCTGATTCTCAGATTTCCAGTGTCAGCATTTGGGAAAAGAAAAAGAAAATTATTTAAAGAGTTGATTTTAGTTATTCTGTGGGGCCGCTATGCTTTGTATTTATAAACATTGGAAAATGTTGAGAACCCCTGCTGTAGGGTCCAGTTAGCAACCTCACGAGCCCAGGTGAGGCGCTGTGTCTGGTGTCTGCTCTTTCATATCCCACAGAAGCTGCAGTGACCTGCGGGATTGTCTCCTGCATTGAATGAGGAGTCGCTTGTCTGTTCACACAGACAATCCTAGCCAGACGCTGCCGGTCACGATCATTAAGCACCTGTGGGTGGCCACTGCGCTGTCCACTGTGGGTAGCAATGCCTTCTGTAACGCTGTGGCACTGTGGATCGAGGAATGTTAAATGCCTGCACACCTTCGGAAATGGAACGCCCCATCCGTCTGGCACCCACTATCACGTCTCGTTCAAACTCCGATTATTCGCGTCGTCTTGCTATAAGAATGCTGGCCAGTGTTCAACCTCACTCACAAGACACACACCTATACAGGTGTGGACATCCCAAACCGTCCCCTGAGGTAAGACCACTTCACATCAGTTTACAGGCTGCTATCCCATGGCTTTCAGCACATCAGTGTCTCATCAAGTCTCATCTGGGTGATCAGCTGTTTTTCCTCCTGCTGTTGACTTTCAGTGACTTCCAATTAACGACAGACACAGCTCGAGTTTAAATAAACGAAACATTGCTCACCACCGCCCCCTAAAGGTGATGTCACTAAGTGAGAAGCTTAGACCTCTGTTTCTGTAAGACTTATTTTCTATAAGTCTCAATAAACGTGTTTCATGCCTTCTTTTATTTACAGGTATTTGCCTCAAACCAACTGATAAAAACACGTGGAAGGTAATAACTAAAAATATTTATCTTATTAAGAAAATAATTGTGATCATCTCAAATAACTGCAATCAGGCAATTACGTAATAACCGTGTCAAGTTTATCTACAGCTATTTGCAGGAGTTTGTTCATGTTTTACTGATTTTTTAAGTGAAAATAGGTTAACATCCTCTGCAGACCGCATACTTCAACACACAATTACTGTTTATTTGAACAACTGTAACCTAGCAAACCTCCCTTACTGCATATCTGCATATCTCCTCTAAACCAGCCCACAACAGCCTAGCTTGCACAAATCCTGATATGTGCTGTGAATAATAGTTTATTTAGACTAATTCCTTTTATATGCAACATACTTGGTGACAAAGTGACTCTGATTCTGATTATTTGCTGAATTTAACATATCTGGGGGTAAAATCTAACATTAAACACAGCCTGTGCAAAATTAGCGGCCCATATTATATTTTTTGCTTTATATTTTCCCAATATGTTAATCTCAGCAAATACATAGAAGCAGAAAAGTGTCATATTTCAGTGTGTTCTCTACAGAGGATGTGTTAACTTTGACTAAGAAAATCAACGCAATGTGTAATCTGACTGTGTTCACACTGTATTTTGCTGCGGTCAGAACAAAATCTTGTATCTCCATTTTTGTCGTTTTTCAGTTTTTGACATAATTTGAAAATGCATGTTGTCTATTACATTATGGGTGAGTTCATGATGAATGGACTAAAAGAAACGGCCCAGAATTACTTGTCTGGTGTGTATATATATATATATATATGAGATGTATCAGCCATGCAGCGCTGGGGTGTTCTGTGCTGTGTACCTGCAGGCGCTGCAGGAAGAGCTGCTGCAGCAGGTCGTCCCACAGACAGAGCGGTTTCTCCAGCAGCCGCAGACACACCGCGCTCCAGTGCAGGCTGATGGATTCACTGCTCAGCAGCTCCCACACAGCGTCCCTGATCGCCGCCAGGGCCTTCAGACTCTTCACATACACCAGCAGACTGCTCACACCGCCGCGGATATCCTCCTTACACCTGCAGCACACAGCAGAGCACTCATCAGAATAATAATAATAATTATTATTACTATTATTTTTTTAGTAGTTTTAGACTGAAGTTCACTGTACTATACAAAGACTCCACCAAGTACTGCACAGATGTTTAAATTATAATTAGCATGCTGGTTTATTCTATTTTTGTTAATTTTTTACAAAAGTGAGAAAACGTGGATGGTTAAGGCACTTTGAAAAGGTGCATCGAAAAACCAAGAGAGAAACATCAGTGAGAGATTTTTTACATAATGATTCCAAACGATTTATAATGACCTCTTAATGTCTTTTAAACTAGCTTCTATATGGAATAATAACCGGAAATGACAACGCAAACATTTTATTTACTATCCAGAACCACCAGTGAACCTACACGAGTCTTCTGAGTTTATATGGAATGTTGATGATGGAAAATAGTGGAAGATCTGAAATAATAAGTTTTCTTTGGGGACTATTTTGCCTCACAGCGCCCTGCATATTATGTATCCCTCCACCATGAATGGAGTTTAGGTTCTCCAAACTATCATAAAACAGTGTCTCAGTCATCAGGCAGTGAATTCATAACCATTTCATGCAATAACTTTCTGTGAGGGAGCTTTTAGAGGTGGATGTCTGGTTCCTATCACCACCACTGTGAACAGTTCTGACTCGGTAAGTTTCTCCAGAACGGAGTGTTTCACACCAAACCACTCTGAACCACTCTGTTTACATCTTAACTACTTAATAATGCAAATTTGAAAATATGGTGGAATTCCCCTTTAAGCCACAGTGTGTTGCTGAGTGCAGATGCAATGTCAAACACACTCACGTGTCGATCCACTGCTGCAGCGTGTCTCTGAGTTGGTCACTCTGTATGGGCTGGGCCAGCGTGCGGAGGACAGGCTGAAAGTCGGTGACGGACGGAGGCAGATATTTAAACCAGCTCCCCGCGCTGCCCTCGCCATGCAGCACCTTGCGGCCTTTAGCTGCAGAACACAGGACATAAACAAAACCACCAGACATCAGCAAACCGCACCACACTGCACTTATACTCGACCCTGCCATCGCTCTGTCCTTTCACTGCACTCAGAGTCAAAAGTTTGGGTGCGCCAGGTCAAATGACCTGTTTTCAGGGGTTGGCAATACGATGATATTTCATCATTATGGTGATAAATTATGTCACAATATCTTTTTCTGAGCATATCGCAGATATCGTCAGTAAGAAACACTGTCTGACTACATGTTTCACTGCAATGTGAGAATAATCAGGCCTGTTTAACTGGATTTAGTGCAGTCTGTGAAACAGTGTACAAAAACACTGTAGCTGTAGGTTTTTTATTATTAGTATTATCATAGTATTTTTATGTGACTTTGCAGTTAACAAAGTAAAACACAACTGTAAAATCTGACTTTGTTATAATTAAAACATTCAGACATCCTTTTAAACACTTACACAGCAAATAACAGCAGTTTAAATCTTAACTTGATTACATTCAATTTGTTTGGTATGATTCAGAATTATTACTGTAATATGCCAAACACACCAATGTAAATATTTACAAATTTATCGGAAGATAATAACAAATAAATGTATACAAAACAAGCACATACATTTTTAAGTGTTACTGTATTGAAGTATAATCAACCATAACATTCCAGATTTAGTGTGGCTGAATCACCACCTCAGATCGACCATGATACATCAATACATCAGTGCCTCCTGTACACAAATCTGTAAATAGAGTATAAAAGCTTGTTTTGTGGTGTTAAATCTTCTCCTGACCGGTGGACGTTGTGGAGGTGACGTTTTCCAGCGTGGTGAAGAGCAAACCGCAGCTCAGCCCAGGCTCCGCCCCCCGACCTCCCTCCGGCGGCAGGTAGAACACGGCATACGCCTGATACAGCGTGGTCACCAGCAGCTCCACCAAAGAGCAGACCTGCGCTTTAATCCCAGCTCCTACACGAATGACAACATGCAAGATTAACATATAGATATATATACATACACATACATTTATACACCGATCAGGCATCCTTGTTTCTACGCTCATTGTCCATTTTATCAGCTCCACTTACTATATAGGTGCACTTTGTAGTTCTACAGTTACAGACTGTAGTCCATCTGTTTCTCTGATACTTTGTTAGCCCCCTTTTACCCTGTTCTTCAGTGGTCAGGACCCCCATGGACCCTCACAGAGCAGGTACTATTTGGGTGGTGGATCATTCTCAGCACTGCAGTAACACTGACGTGGTGGTGGTGTGTTAGTGTGTGTTGCGCTGGTATGAGTGGATCAGACACAGCAGTGCTGCTGGAGTTTTTAAACACTGTGTCCACTCACTGTCCACTCTATTAGACACTCCTACCTTTTCGGTCCACCTTGTAGATGTAAAGTCAGAGACGATAGCTCATCTGCTGCTGCACAGTTTATGTTGGTCATCCTCTAGTCTTTCATCAGTGGTCACAGGACGCTGCCCACAGGACACTGTTGGCTGGATATATTTGGTTGGTGGACTATTCTCAGTCCAGCAGTGACACTGAGGTGTTTAAAAACTCCAGCAGCACTGCTGTGTCTGATCCACTCAGACCAGCGCAACACACACTAACACACCACCACCACGTCAGTGTTACTGCAGTGCTGAGAATGATCCACCACCCAAATAGTACCTGCTCTGTGAGGGTCCATGGGTGTCCAGACCACTGAAGAACAGGGTAAAAGGGGGCTAACAAAGTATCAGAGAAACAGATGGACTACAGTCTGTAACTGTAGAACTACAAAGTGCACCTATATAGTAAGTGGAGCTGATAAAATGGACAGTGAGCGCAGAAACAAGGAGATGGTCATAATGTCATACCAGATCGGTGTATATAGAACATTTTTGAAAAGGGTTCAATATAGCACCATAATGGGTTCTGCTATATTTACAAGCTTGACATCGTAACCCTTTGAGGGTACTGTTGAGGGTACCGTGCTGCGGCTGGTTCAGCAGTTGCTGAATGGAGGCTTTCCTGGCCAGCAGGAAGTCTGCGAGGGCCTGTCGAGGCGAGCTGCCCTCTAGGAGCATGGTGGACACCAGAGCTTCGGCTATAGCCTGGTCAGACACTGCCCGGCCTCGCAGCACCGACTTACTGTCCAGCAGGATCGTGGACCTGGAATATGAAGAGAAGGAGAGGTTCTAAACCTCATGTGTCAAACACAAGACCCATGGGCCAAATCAGGCCTGTGACACAATCCTATTGGGCCTGCAAAATTATTTTAATTTTCTATTAATATTAGCCCATTTCACATGAACTGCACTACAGTTCCCAGCATGCACTGCACCGTAATGTGTGCTCCCACCCCCTCCCCAACAAAGATCTATAGGACAGCACCACAAAAACAAAGCAATAAAAAAAGCCAGGTGTCCAGTTCAAGCAAATGGGCAGTTTTAAAAAATGATAATGTATACTGGGGACATTTAAAGAGGTTCAACAGTATCTGCAGCTGACCTGTAGTCTGTTCTTTTATATAAAACTATTTGTTTTTATTTTAAAATATTTTTGAAATCGCTCAAGTATTCAGTGCCTATTTTTTGCCATTGCAGTTTTGGCATATTTTGAATAAACAGTGGCCAGTTGGGGTCATGGCAAAATTTTAAGTAAAATGAAATAAAAACACAGCTGTCCCACAGATCTGTTGAGATTTTTTAATACGGCCTTTTTAGTGGTTGAGTTTGACACCCCTGATCTAAACCAACAGCACTATCTGATGCCACGTTCACTGAGATAAAATGGCACAGCTGTGTGAACACGGATCTGTCCAAATCAGATCTGATCCACTTTCATATACATTCCCAGATCAGATACATATCTGATATGAGGCCATGTGGCCATGGTATATTTATATAATACATTTGTAAAATACGTTTTTATGGGGTTTACCCCTTTCGCTAGTAATACTACGCACTAGGAGTCATTTCATTCATTATCTGTATCAATATAAATATTTGGACACTTACGCTTCACACAGCAGGTAAAAGTGGCCCAAATCTGATCTTTTTCCTCATATTAGACTCAGATGTGTGTCTGTGCGTCAGTGTGGACAGATAAACACACTGAATCTGACATTTACAGTTCTGATTAGACACTGAAATCCGATACGTATCCGATCTGCGGCAATGCAACTCAGTCTGAATAGCCAGATCAGAATTCATGCAGCTTTTGCGTCAGTCCAACACCACATTCATCATAATTTCTCACTGCTGAGACTCATAAACATTTAGGCTGATGTTTCTGCACCAAAATTAGAAGAAACTCATCCAAAACTGCTCCGTGTTTGAAGAGATTTCTAAAGAAATGTCCAAGCGCGGCCGCAGGAGAACGAGGCTGCAGTGTCAAACAGTTAAAAAGACTGAAAGTAAAGTTTAAAGAATCTGAGGAGCCAAAGAAGTGACCGCGCCCTTTTGACGGCTCGAACACATTCTGGGTGGTGAGCCCAGCTCTCAGTCAGTGAAGCTTCATGATGGCTCCTGTGATGCTGGTGAAGATGAAGCTGATCCTCTGGGAGCGACTGGCGTTCGTTGGCGGTCGTGATTGTTTACCTCTGGATGAGCCGTGAAGCAGCGTGACGCTCTGTTCTTTTGAGCATGTGGGTCAGTTTAGGAGCTGATCTGTTCAGACTGATGATACAGATCACATTTAAAGATAATCTGAACAGCAAAACAACAAAATTTTTTTTGGTGAGAAAATCAGATTTGGGCCACTTTTACCTGCTGTGTGAACGAAGCCTTAAAAGCCGACGAGAAACACAGCAAGTATGTCTAACAGCCTATTTTTTCACAGCTAATTAACTAAAATATATCATTTTTCCACTGGTCTGTTCAGAATGTGCGCTCTCACTGAGATGAATTCCTCGTGTGTGTAAAATACTCGGCGAAATAAAGTGATAACTGTACCTGAAATGTCCGGCCGCTGCCACCTGCCGCACCAGTATGGGGAAGCGTGAGAGGACGGGGCTGTAGTGGGGGCTCCCTCCGTCCAGGTGCAGCTGACGGTGGAGGTGACAGCACAGCAGGTAGAGCTGAGTGGCCTGCAGGTACTGAGAACACTCCATAGCGCTCCATATCCGCTCAGGTATCTCCAGGAGGAGCTTTATCTGCGAGGCTATAGTGTAGAATTTCTCTTTGGACTGTTTCTGATCCTGTAAAACACAGAAAGAGAAGCTTTAATAGAGTTTAAACTGATCAAGGGACAAAGCCATCAAACACAAATCTACAACCTACAACGTTTTAAAGGGGCGTTCCAGCCTAAAATCAGCATTTAGTATGTTATTTTACAGAATTCATGATTTTGGATCCTTTTTTTTGTTTTTCATCGATCAGTTTTCTCTCACTACAGTAGATATTATTTGCAAAACCTGGAGAAAGAGCCCCCCTGGCCACATTGTTGACATTCCGTCAGCTTAACGCAGGGGGGTCTAAACTTTTTTTAAGATTGTGCTGCGTCAAAACTTGTGAGGGCTGAAATATTATTCACAAATGATTAAAAGTATTAAGTATCATATAAAATATCAGTGCATAGAATCAGAGCTTTCAGTGAGCTACCGCGTTTCCTATCACTGTATAAAAGATGCACAAGGCTTCTTTTACTGTTGGATTGCTAGGAGCAACCTGGACTGGTAAGCGCTTAATCACAAATTATTAAATTGTTTAAGAGTAACAATAAAACATGCTTCATGTATTAAGCATACTTCTAAATAATGTCTACTAAACAAAAATCTATAAATCGTTCAGTTGTGTTAGATGATGTTCTTTACGTATCAAATAAATGCAGCTGCCACATTCAGAAACCACTTTATTAAAGGAGAGGAGCAGATTAAACAGCATTAACAGCCGTTATTGTTCCACCTTAAAGGGTTCACATTTCCTGACCTGCTGAATCTGCTCTGATATGAAGTCGGTGCTGTGAGACTCGCGGAGCTGCAGCTGCTTTAGTTTCTCTCCTGAATATTGACGGTAATGTTCTGCTGTGTTTCATGTCTGTTGATGTTAAATTCATTACAGTGTTTTGAGGCTCATTTACTGAAGATTTCAATGAAAAACTATTCAAATTTCCATCAAAATCTACAGTTCTCAGTGTTAGTTTGAACTGCAGTGCACTGGCTGGCAGGTCGCTTATAACACACACTGAAACAGAAGACAGGGGCCGATTAAAATCTGTCCGCAGGCCACATTTGGCCCTGAGGCCATTTCTGAGCTATGCAGAGATTTTGAAAAATGGGTGGAGTTCCCCTTTAATATTAAAACTAACTCTAGAAATACTGTGGCACTACTGTGAGAGGCGAGTATGTGCATTTACAATAGATACATTGATGGTTACAATTTTCATTTTGGCTGGAGTGCCCCTTTAATACGCGATGTTTCTGATTGGCTGCACTGAAACGGGTTATTAATTAATTATTATTATCTCAAATTTTGTCTGTAATTTTGTCGAAACTTGTACAAAACAGTATTTCATAAAGAATCTGAAAACACAACCAACTCAACCAAACACACTGAACAGCTACACACGGTTTGAGGCAAACGTGTGATGATTTACACACTTTGCTATTAGGGTTGGGGGAACTCGATTCTTAGATGCATTGCGATGTGGACGTGAACGATTCTGAATCGATTCACAAATGTCAAAAATTGATTTTCTAAATATTTAATTTATAACGTAATGTTGACGGAACGCAAAAGGCAGAACTTGGAAATGGGTAAGTGCAGCGCCCGGACAGTCTGTGGCGGCACATAACAAAAACACTACTGGATGAGTGAGAAATCCGACCGGCTCCCTCTGCATTAAAGCCAGGTTAGGTCAGGAGTCACAACACAAATGATAAGAAGAGCCATTTTGTCCTTTCAACAAAGTCAAACCAGCTTGGGAGCCACAACATTTATGTCCATCGTGTCTCAGTATGTGATGATGTGTATGTGTATGTCTAGTATCAGCTAAAAAATATAAACAAAAACACAGATTTACTTCGCTCTGCTTTAAGCTTCAGCTCAGCTACAGCCGCTTTTCTCACATCTCCGCCAGGAAACCTTTCCTCAAAAGTAGATCAGTTTATTGTAAAATGTCTCTCAGTGTTCGACTGTTTTACGAGGCTGAAGTCGCTTCTCATTCGCCAGCTACTTCTGCGAATTCTCCCGTTCCACCTTAAATTTTGCCTGATGTGCCAGAGTGTAAATGCTGACTTCATCTTCGCAACTTTTCAGCGTTTGACTGTCTCTCATTGCAGGTTTAACGCACCAGGAAACCGACTGCACTGCTTATAAACGCAAATAAGTCCATTCATCTCCAAGCGTTCGTCTTAAATCTCTCTCTGCCTTTTCGTAGCTGCTAGCCAGGCGAGACTGCGTTGCTGTGTGACCGGCAGTCTGCACGCCAGTTCTCAGTCGTTGAGAACCAGAGCTTTCGCGCTGTGTTGTGCACTTCGGAGCCGAGATGCAGCGTCCAGTCTCGAAGATATTTTACTGACACAGCAACACCCCCCAACGACCCCCCCCCACGACAAGACCAAAGTTACAAAATCTAAAAAATATAAAAGAAAACGGGTAGGTTGTAACGCGCTGCGTGGAAACTCATTACCACTGGATCTCATTTCAACGTAACAGCATTTTATCACAGATGAGTGGCAGCAGCGTCTCATGTGCTCCAAACAAGAGCAGCGAATGAGAGCCTTCCAGTTCAGCCACATCACTTCCATTTGACTTATTAACAAAAGATACTGGAAATAAATTCATTATGGATCATTACAAATAAAAGTCGTCACACAGTGAGAGAACAGAAATCCTCTATTGAAAGAAAATCAATAATCGTTTTATAATCGCATCACAGCCTCAGAATCGAATCAAATCGAATCGTGAGGTGCCCAGAGATTCACACCCCTACTTAGAAATGTGCTAATTGGTGGGTTATTCAATTCAATTACTTGTTAGCTACATTAGCTTCATCGCTCAAGAGCTAAAACTAAAGCAGCAAACTTCAGACACAGAACACGTCTTATTTGATTAGCTACATCTGAGGTGGGCGTGGTGGGGGGCGTGGTTCATGATGGGCGTGGTTTAACATAATTTACCAAACTATCGCTTTAAAGTGACCAAACCGCTCCGAATCAGAAGTTGGTGGAGTTAACGAGCACTGCTACACACTTTACAAAGGCAGTTCTTAAATGGGTTCTTTAGTAAAGGGAATGGTTCTGTTTAGAACCATTTCATGTTTAAATGGTTCTCTGCATGGTGAAATAGTTCTTCAGATTGATGAAGAACGTGTTGTATATGCTTCTATACAAAACATTTTCTAAAATGATTCTATACAGCACTCATAGTTCTGTTTAGAACCATTTCATGCTTAAATGGTTCTATATAGCACTTGTGGTTCTACATAAAATTATTTGCATGACTACATGTTTCTTTACATGCTGAAATGGTTCTTCAGACAGATGGACAATGTGTTGTACGTTGTTCTATACAGCACCAAAAAAGGGTTCTTCCATTGTGAGGAGCTTAACACTGTAAACAACAGAAGAACCCTTTATAGGTGCTAGCTATACAGAACCCTTTTTTTAAAAAGGTTCCATATAGAATCATATACAATCCTTTCTCCATCAATCTGAAGAACAATTTAAGAATGCGAATGGTTCTACTTAGAACTCATGGTTCTAGATAGAATTCTATATAAACAAGTACATTAAAAGATTCTACATAGGATACATGGTTCTAAGTAGAACCATGAGTGCTCTGCAGAATCATTTTCAAAAAAGGTCCCGTATAAATCATACACAACAGATTCTCCATCAATCTGAAGAACCGTTTTACGAAATGGTTCTAAACAGAACCATCCTCTTTACTAAAGAACCCTTTAAGGCCAACTTTTTTAGAGTGTGGTTCCTCTGTAGGCGCATTACCTCCAGTTTGCTGAGACTCTGTGGGGGGTTTCTGGCCTGTTTGAGCTGCTGGCAGTACCGGTCCATGTCCTGGATCGACCGGACCACACTCTCCGAGCACTGCCGCATCTCCCCGATAGTGTCCGCGGCGTCGATCAGGTCTCTGTACCGCTCGCCCACCATCTGCCGGAGCTCCTCTTTCTTCTGCTCGATCTCTCCGCGGATCTTCCGCTCCACTGCGCGGATCTCCTCCGTGCTGTACCGCTCGAACAGCACATTCGGGTCTTTGATGTCCGAGACCCGCAGAGAGTGGGCCGGTACCGAAGCCATGGCTCTCCGATTCCAGAGCTACAACGCCAGAGGTGGGGTTTGTGTTTGTGTTTTTTTTTTCCAACCCGTTTTACGGAACGTCCCGCCTCCCGAAAGCTCTGATTGGTTATCGCCTGCGTTCGGCTCGCTCACAGGAGAAGCGTTCGGGAACTACTAGCCAATCCCAGCTAAGGTGGGCGGGGGCTTGTCTGAAAAGCGGGTGGGAAATGAAAACGACGCCAGCTCCACCTATGAGCTCCACGTCAACACAAGTTCATAGGTGAAAACTAGACTGTTACAAAAAACGACAGAGCGCCCCTACCGGCCAATGCGCTTCACCATCCGAGGGCTGCATGTATAAAATCATCACAAGCAGATCTGTAACCTATCAAAAGCCTACAGATCCTAAAAATTATGGTTCTTCAAAGGTTCTCTAGTAAAAGGAAAGAATATATTTGGCACCATGAGTTCTACAGAAAACCATTTTATGCCTAAATGGTTCTGCGCATGGCGAAATCGTTTTTCAGATCGATGGAGAACGTGTTGTACATGGTTCTACATAAAACTTTAAAAATGGTTCTACATAGCTAGCACCAAAAGGGTTCTTTTACTTTTACTACACGATGTCAAGCCTGTCACAATGAAAGAACCCTGTAAAACGGCAGTGACCTTTAATCACTGTGAGATTGTGTAAAGGGGAAACAGCGCCCTCTGGCGCCGCAACACGGAGCTGCGCTTCTGCGCAACAGGTGAGACGCAGGTAACGCGGAAACGAGACCAAACGAAAGCACAGGTGAGTGGGCTCATCTTTCTGTCTCTCTAACAGGTGTTTTATCAGGTATCAAGGCATGAAAAGCTGAATAAAGCGTGTATTTCGTGGTTTGGCACTTTACAGAAAGAGCTGTTTTTATGTTTTATTTGATTTTTTTAGCTTAGCGCTACTTCAGACTATTCACCATTCAATACAGTAAAGGCTGAATACCTACACGTTCATTGTACATCATATTTAGCCTCCACCAGCTGCTAAAAGTGTTATTATTTCTCTATTTATATCATTTGATTTTATGTTTCAGGTAGAAAAACTGAAACTCTTCTTCCTTGAACTGTTTCCGGGAGCTGCTCTCACCACAGCTGTGTTTATTGTAGCCTTTAGCGGGATATTCGAGTTTCCTCTCCTGATCTAAACGACCGGAGAGTTTTCTCAGTCAGGAGAGGAGCAGCCTGGAAGAAAATATAGTTCAAAACGTTGCTGGTCAACATTTCACAGTTCAGTGGTGCTTCAGTAATCAGTAATAGCAGAGAACTTGTAGAGAGGAGAATCATGTCTCTGTAATGTCTTCTGGGTTTCTCAAACGCTAGAGGGCGCTCCCGAGCGAGTCCAAAATGAATGGGTTAATATGGATGATTGAGCAAAATCATAGTTTATAAATGCTGAAACATTTTTAATGTAAAATAATACAATAATTTCCTGAACACAGAGCAGCATAAAACATTTTAACACTGCTGTTATATTTTTAAGAGCTTTTAAAATCGAGTTATAGGAGTTTAAAACGGCGCCTCATGTACGTTCATGACGTCAGTGAGCGCAAACAGCCAATGAGCTGCTCCGCTCGCCAACCAATCAGCACTGAGTAGCAGTAATGCTGCGTCCTGCTGCCCAAAACCCGTTTGCTGTGGAAAAAGTAAACATACAGGTGAGTTTTCTTTGTTTATTTAGTGAAATACAAACTTCTGCTTTCTAAAATTAAAGGGAAGTTCTGTTTAAGTGATTAGAAACTATTTTAACTTTTCGTTTTTAGCCGTTTAGCTCCATTCACTCCCATTCACTGAGGACTCACTCGCGAGCGCCCTCTGCTGTTTAGCAGTCCTGTTTTTGATATAACGGGGGAAATAGGAAGCGGCCAGACTCCTCATCAACCGGCTCTGGTAATAGAGTGGGGTGATTTAGTCGTATTTATTGTGGAGAAAAGAAGCTAAAAGGAGAATTAGAGTACAGAAATGTGCCTGTAGTAAACTAATGGCCTTCTTACTGCCCACTACACCCTAAAGCTTTACAAACCATCTGCCTTTTGTTGAAATTTGAGGTATTTGTATGTTTAACATAAACAATATTAATATATTGTGGTATTAGCCACTACACAATATCATTAATAAATATACATTAAAATTAAAACAATGTGCAGTTTAGGAAAATGACAACTTTATATAGGGCACTACCCCATTTTATTTGTGAATTAGTACCAGATTTCAAAATAAAAGTCACCTTTAGGCAATGCCAGGCGATGAGAACAACAGTAATATATTTAAACATGGTTTTTACACAGATTTGAGTTATTTATGTGTTATTTTTCTCTGTCTGGGTCATTATTTTTCAATCTTCAGCCATATGTAGGGAGAACCAGAACACAAGCAAATGAGTAGAAACTCTGAGGTAACTTCCACTCTTAAAACGATGGTTTATCAAAGGTTCTTTAGTAAAGGCATTGGTTCTGCTCAGAACCATGAGTTCTTCATAGAGCCTTTCTTCAGATTGATGGAGAATGTGCTGTACATGGTTCTGTGTAGACCATGTATAACACCAAAAAGGGTTCTTCTATTCACTAAGATGGTTCTTCAAGGGTTTTTTTTTTAAATTGAATGGTTCTATTTAGAAACCAGAGTTCTGTATAGAACCATTTGCATGCTGTGCAGTTCTCTGCATGGTGAAATGGTTCTTCAGATTAAAGGAGAATGTATTGTATATGGTTCTAGATCCTTTTTGAAAATGGTTCTGTGTAGCACCAAAAAGGGTTCTGCTCTTGCTTTGATGTCAAGCTTGTAACGATAGAAAAATCCGTTAAACAAAAAAATGCTGTATAGAACCAACACATTCTCCATCAGTCTAAAGAACCATTTAAGCATGAAATGGTTCTTTGTAGGGCCACTGGTTCTAAATTAACCTGTTCCCTTTACTAAATCACCCTTGAAGAACCATCTTTTTTTAGGCCTAAACTTGGTCTATAAGAAACTTGGTCTATAAGGAAACTCCATCCATTTTTCAGAATTTCTGCATAATAAATGGTTAAAGATGTAAGCAGAGTCAGAACTGTTCACAGTGGTGGTGATAGGAACCAGACGTCCACCTCTAAAAGCTCCCTCACAGAAAGTTACTACATGAAATGGTTATGAATTCACTGCCTGATGACTGAGACGCTATTTTATGATAGTTTAGAGAACTTAAACTCCATTCATGGTGGAGGGATACATAATATGGAGGGCGCTGTGAGGCAAAATAGTCCCCAAAGAAAAGGTACCAGTGTAAAGAAATCTCTAAAGAGTCTCCATGATCATTTTAAACCTCACTCTCATTAGTTTCTTTCCGTCTGTGTCCCTCTGAACAGAATCCCAGGTGCAGCGATGGCTCAGCAGGACCTGCAGCAGGACTTTCAGAACCAGTTTAACGATGTCGTGAGCAGACTGCAGTCGAAGCAGCTCTTTCAGTCGGACTGGGACATCGCCTCCTTCGCCATCTTCTTCATTTTTATAGGCAAGTCTTGTTAAAATAGCAGAAAAGATAAACACTCCAAGTTAATCCAGTGCAGAACAGCCTTCATTAAAGGGCCCATACACAATTATTTTCTTGTGTTTTATTTTTTCCTTGTGGTCCATTTGTGACATTTGTGTGCTTTAATGTATGAAAAACAGCCATAATTCATTTTTACATGGCTATTTTCCAACTTGGTTTTAACCTTTAAAATTAAACAGGCTATTTTTGTTACTGTGCCTTTAAGACAAATTTCCAATTTTTGTTTTTTTGTATACAGTAATAACTTCTACAATGTACAAATGTTACAACTAAATTTAAAAAAAATGTTTTATTCAGTATTTCAAGAATTATGTAAAGATTTGAAATTATTTAATAATTATAATAGAATGATGCAATTACTTATTACTTTTAATTACTTTTTATTATTTATTACAAGTTATCTGCCTTGAGACTGTGAAGCTGAACATGATGGGCATATTAGAATCATTTCATATGTTAATCTAAAACTAAATTGTTTTTTTATTACTATTGAAAACATTTATTCTAAACTTTTGAACACTGATATACGTAAATGAGCTGAGCTCTGATTGGCCTGTCCTGTGTTGCGCCTTTGTCAAAAAGCAGTCCAGGCTGAAACACTCATAATGACTTCAGTGTAAGTGGGTGGGGCTAAACAGTGGTAGGCCACATAGGAGGATATATGCAGATGTGCTTGTCTTTGTGGCTGGTGAGCTCAAGGACTGACAGTTTGATGCTGTTTCCTCAGGTATGGTGCTGCTGCTGGTCATTCTGGTCATCATTCGATGCTGCTGCTGTTGCTGCTGCGATGAAAAGGTATTAAAGCACTTTAGCACAAAAAAAATATATGAAATTCATATCTTGCATGTAAATCCTGCTACTGTGTGTCCAAATATTTGTAGACACCTGCATAATTCAGTGTGTGAGATGATGACAGAGTGATTCGGAGTGGTTTGGTGTGAAATGGTTCAGATGTCTTTACAGTGGTGGTGATAGGAACCAGGGGTCGCCATGACTACAACACAAATATAGACATTTTATTTACTATCCAGAACCACCAGTGAACCTACACGAGTCTTCTGAGTTTATATGGAATGTTGATGATGGAAAATAGTGGAAAATCTGAAATAATAAGTTTTCTTTGGGGACTATTTTGCCTCACAGCACCCTACATATTATGTATCCCTCCACCATGAATGGAGTTTAAGTTCTCCAAACTATCATAAAACAGTGTCTCAGTCATCAGGCAGTGAATTCATAACCATTTCATGTAGGAACTTTCTGTGAGGGAGCTTTTAGAGGTGGACGTCTGGTTCCTATCACCACCACTGTGAACAGTTCTGACTCGGTAAGTTTCTCTAGAACAGAGAGTTTCACACCAAACCACTCTGAACGACCCTGTTTACATCTTAACGACTTAATTATGCAAAAAAACTGAAGAATTAATGGAATTTCCTTGTAACAGCCATAATGATAACGTAGTATGTTTATATCAATGGGAACAGCAGGAGTGACCACATATACAACCTGTGTTACCCTCAGTAAACACAGTAATAAATAGGCATATCTACTGAAACAGAGATTTATTGAGGAAGTCAGATATAATGCTCTCCTAGCCCCGCCTTCCTGGACATTTGCATATTCACTCTGTGGTCTGTTAATGATCGTATGAGCTGAATCAGCTGTGCTGGAGCAGGAAAAGGCTTTTGGAAATTTTGAAAATTGGGTGGAATTTCCCTTACAAGTGGTTGAATTCACTCAGAAAGGCTGTCTGGATATTTTTGGATAACTTGAATGCGTACTTCTTACAGCACCCTAAAAAAATGGTTCTTCAAGGGTTCTTTAGTAAAGACAGTAAAGACAGTGGATCTATATAGAACCATGAACACTCAAAGAACCATTTGCATGTTTAAAAGGTTAAATCGTTCTTCAAAATGATGGAGAATGTGTTGTATATGGTTCTATATGGAACCTTTTTGAAAATGGTTCTATACAGCACCAGAAAGTATTCTTTTGTTGCTACGATGTCAATCTTGTAAAAATAAAAGAACCAATTTTGATTAGTCTGAAGAACGATTTTACCATGCAGAGAACCTTTCAGCGTACAGATGGTTCTTCGAATGTTCTATATACAACCACAAACACTCAAAGAACAATTTGTATGCTTAAATGGTTCTTTGCCTAGTGAAACGTTCTTTAGATTGATGGAGAATGTGTTGCATACGGTTCTATATAGAACCTTTTTTAAAAAAGGCTTCTAAAAAGCACCAAAAAGGGTTCTGCTATTATTACAATGTCAAGCTTATAAACAATAGCAGAACCCTTTGGTGCTATTTAGAACCATATACAACTCATTCTACGTCAATCTGAAGAACCATTTCACCATGCAGAGAACGGTTTAAGCATGCAGATGGTTCTTTGAGCACTCATGGTTCTATATAGAACTATTGTCTTTACTAAAGAACCCTTGAAGAACACCTTTTCAAAGAGTGAATAAAATAATAATAATAAATAAAATAAATAATAAAAATAAAATAAATATGTTCTTTTATCTAATAATGTTTTTTTTCCACTTTTCAGCCTAAAAGACGTAAGGTGGGCATCGACAACATGGCACTGGAACCATGAAGACCAGGATCAGGATCAGGATCAGGAGTCAGACTCAATCAGCTTCAACACTAAATTTCAATCATATTACTTTAAACTATTTTTTTACTCTTAAATTGTGCCACATGATAATGCTGAATGTTTTAAAGTGAGTTATGAATAAGGGGCGTATGTAAACCGTCTGGATGTAAACAGGTGGAGTTCTGAAATGTAAATATTGTCATGAAGGTGAACAAACACATCTCCCAAATCCTCTTCATCATCTCTCGGTTCAATAAGCCAATATTGTCTGCACTGTAGGACATGAAGGGTAAATATTTACAGAGTTTAGTACTGTTGATTTTTTTTCTGAGACTTTTAATGTGTAAACAAATCTAACACTTATGTAAACGAATGTAATAGGTCTTTCTGTCATAGAATTATTTATGATTTAATAAAAATTAAATATTGAGAAACTGCAGCAGTTCTTTAAATTGTTCTGTTTATGACGACTTCTGCCAAAAAACTACAAGTCCCAGCATTCAGCATTCTGGATGGAGTTGTAGCATCATTTGTGGTGAAAAAAAAATGTAAAAAGAAATGTTTTAAACATATAAAATATATGTATTCTATACACAACTCACCAGGCACTTTATTAGGAACACCTCCTTGTTTCTACATTCATTGTCCATTTTATCAGCTCCACTTACTATATAGGTGCACTTTGTAGTTCTACAGTTACAGACTGTAGTCCATCTGTTTCTCTGCATACTTTGTTAGCCCCCTTTTACCCTGTTCTTCAGTGGTCAGGACCCCCATGGACCCTCACAGAGCAGGTACTATTTGGGTGGTGGATCATTCTCAGCACTGCAGTAACACTGACGTGGTGGTGGTGTGTTAGTGTGTGTTGCGCTGGTCTGAGTGGATCAGACACAGCAGTGCTGCTGGAGTTTTTAAATACTGTGTCCACTCACTGTCCACTCTATTAGACACTCCTACCTTGTCAGTCCACCTTGTAGATGTAAAGTTAGAGACGATAGCTCATCTGCTGCTGCACAGTTTGTGCTGGTCATCCTCTAGTCCTTCATCAGAGGTCACAGGACGCTGCCCACAGGACGCTGTTGGCTGGATATTTTTGGTTGGTGGACTATTCTCAGTCCAGCAGTGACACTGAGGTGTTTAAAAACTCCAACAGCACTGCTTCAAATCAAAGCAGATGAATAAACCAAAAATCATTTGTGTATTATTTATCATTTAATAACTTCTTGCTAATCAAAAAACTTCCTAAAAATAGTTCAATGTCTAGTTTAGAATATTTAAACCTATGTAAGTTATTAGTGTATACATATTTCATAAATATGAATTAAAAGTGATTCCAAAGTTCTAAATGGTAGGTTATATATTTGCATTTTACATATATATATATATATAAAAATATTGAATATTGAAAAAAAGTTGAATATTGAAAAAAAGTTAATAGTCTCTATGAAGATGTTTGCATTCAATAAATTTATTGCACAGTTATTATATGATTGACATGAAATACACACAGCACTGACAAGCAGCTTCAACATTAAATTACACATTTGTTCTATGTTGGAATCAACAGGCAGATTAACAAACACAGCGGCGCACAGAGCCAAAAGCAAGTGCATTTAACATTAGAATAAATAAAGCATTTTAATAAATTAATAAACAAAGAGCTGACAATAACATTTTTACATGAGGATGATAAATATTCTAATTAACGTAGATTCTGAAATACGTTCCTTTTATATTCATGGAATGCTGTTTAATAGAAAGTGTTGTGTTAAAAGCCCCTAAATTCACTTCCTCTTTTGGAGTGATACAGAACAAGAAAGGCTCAAATTGTTTAGTGTTCATCAGTAAAGTCCTTCATTTTCTTACCACCTATCATCATCATCATCTTCATCATCATCACCATCACCATCATCATCCTCCACATTCAAAATGCAAACATTTACAGCTTTCTGTTATTCTTGCTAGTAATAATCACCACCGTTACCAAAGTATTAAACCAATGAGATTTAACGTTACAAACTAACACTGATAAGCAGATTTTGTTCATTTCTTTCCTACAATTAAGAGGGAATTCCACCAAATTCCTTCATAATTCAGTGGTTGAGATGTAAACAGAGAGATTCAGAGTGGTTTGGTGTGAAAAGGTTCAGATCTCTTTACAGTGGTGGTGATAGGAACCAGGAGTCGCCATGACTACAACACAAATATAGACATTTTATTTACTATCCAGAACCACCAGTGAACCTACACGAGTCTTCTGAGTTTATATGGAATGTTGATGATGGGAAATAGTGGAAAATCTGAAATAATAAGTTTTCTTTGGGACTATTTTGCCTCACAGCGCCCTGCATATTATGTATCCCTCCATGAATAGATTTTAAGGCCAAAATCTTTTTTTTTTCTGTGAGGGAGCTTTTAGAGATGGACGTCTGGTTCCTATCACCACCACTGTGAACAATTCTCTTGGACAGAGTGTTTCACACCAAACCACTCTGAATGACTTTATTTACATCTGGAGTCTTTAATTATGTGGAAATTTGAAAAAAAAAAATGGTGGAATTCCCCTTTGCGATATTTCACAGTTTCTGCTCAAAACAAAGGAATGAATGGAATGTGGGAAATGTGACCTTCAAGGATTTAAATGTAAAATCCCTGGAGAAGCAAAACATGGCTTGTATTGGCAAACCGCCCAACAACAAACCGCCAAAGACCAAAGTGACTCACCATCATTTGTGCCTTTAAGCTCAAAGATGACGACTCAGCGTGTGTTCTAGCTACTCTCTCTACGCCCTGATGCAGTCAAAATAAAAATAAATTATATACGCAGTACACAGAAAAGGTGAGTGAGTGGTCCCAGAGCAAGCTGCATGAATGAATTACTCATAGCTGCATTGTGTTTCTCAGCGTGTAGTGATTCTGTGTAGATATATTCATTTATACGCATGTAGAAGTGACGAAGGTCTTTGGTCAGTTCAGAACGGCCTGTAGTTCCAGAAGCTGGAGAAAACAGAAATCTGCAAACAAAAGAGAACAACACAAACAAAATAAACACCTTTTATTCTCCAGAAATCACTGTGTAATCACTATAATAACAACAAGAAAAGTGCACTTCCTGAAGAAAATCCAAAGCGACTGCACAGCGTAAACAGTAGACAGTTGCTAGAGCTGCCAAATGGTTACGGTATCCTTCATGGTTGACAGCCATTTGTTACAGTTTCCCAGTTGGTTGCTAGGGTGTTGCTAGGCAGGTGCTATGGTATTCATGCTATGGGAATGCTGCGTTGGTACTATGGTACCCCAGTATAGTTAATAGGATGTTACTGATGGACTTGACTTATTGTGACATAAGCTGGGTGCCCAAACCTTTGCACCCTATTCAGTCCAACCGGGGTGGGGGGGGTGTGGGGGGGGGTGGGGATAATCCTTTAATGAGGATTGTCCAAAAATCGTACATCCAGTCCAAAAGTACGCAAGCACACCATTCACAACCAGACCGAACATCCCGGAAGAGGAACGGAGTCAATATCTCAAAAACCGCAAGACGAGTTAGCGGACAAAACTCTGGCAGAAGAAGAAGAAGAAGAAGAAGAAGAAGAAGAAGAAGAAGAATGAGGAGGAGGAGAAAGAGAAGGAGAAGAAAAAGGGGGAGGAGGAGGAAAAGGACAGGGAGAAGAAGAAGAAGGAGGAGGAGGAGAAGAAGGAGGACAAGAAGAAAGAAGGAGGAGGAGCAGAAGATGGAGAAGAAGAAAGGAGGAGGGGTGGAGGAGAAGAAGAAGATGGAGGAGAAGGAGAAGAAGGAGGAGACGAAGGAGGAGGAGGAGGAGAAGAAAGGAGGAGGAGCAGAATAAGAAGAAGAAAGGAAAAGAAGAAGAAGAAGAAAGGAGGAGGAGGAGGAGAAGAAGGAGGAGAAGGAGGAGGAGAAGGAGGAGAAGGAGAAGAGGGAGGAGAATAATAATAAGAAAGGAGTAGAAGAAGAAGAAGAAAGGAGGAGGAGGAGAAGTAGATGAAGAAGAAGAAAGGAGGAGGAAGAGGAGGAGAAGAAGGAGGAGAAAAAGAAAAAGAAGGAGGAGGAGGAGGAGGAGAACCCGTGAGGTAACAGTAGTGCTGCACACTGCTTAGTAATGCACAGTCACTAATAATCAGCAAAGCTAATATCTAACTAAGCATTTAACAGTTACAGCTCCAGCTTTACACCCAGCTCTGCGAGCTCCAGGCTAACGGCTCACTGGGCTTTGATTTGGTCCACTCTTTTCCCGAAACCTGGTGATTTAAGGTGGACTAACTGGTGTATATTATGTAGGCCTTAGCTGTGAACAGGCTCTATCAGTGCTGAACACACCCACCTTATCTTTGAGCTGCTGGCAGAGCTGCAGGGAGATGGTGAAGAACACCAGCGTGTCGTTCAGCCACGGCACCACACACTCCACTTTGTGCACATGACTGACCTCAAACTTAGTGTTGTTGATTTCACTGCAGGAATAAGAACAATTACATCATTCTTAACCAAACAGATCACGTTCAAAACGGTTCACGACAAGCTAAACAAAATATAAGAACGCAGTAAAGGGTCAGTCGTTCTGATACCGCGGATAAAAACAACAGACAAAAACGCAGAGAGCACTCACAACATCGCTCCGGGATTATGCAGCACTGAACTTCCTGCAGGTTTGAAGTTCTACAGAAGAAAAAACAATCAGTTAACATTTTAAACTGCAGGCTTATCAATCTGTTATCTAAAGACGTATTATTCAGCACCTACTATGAATTATTCAGTATCTACTATGAATTATTCAGTATCTAATATGAATTATTCAGTTTAAACAACATTCTTAATTATCTACTATAAATTATTCAGTATTTACTATGAATGATTCAGTATCTTCTATAAATTATTTAGTATCTACTCTGAATTCAGCACTAATATTAGCGCTGAGTGATATCGTCTGTGATGGTATTGGTATCACACAACAATATTGATTTCTAGCTTAAGCAGTATTGACAGATAACGAGCATGATACACTATATGTACCAAAGTATTGGGACATAACTCAATCATTAAATTCAGGTGTGTCATTCAGTCTCATTTCCAAAGGTGTATAATCAAGCACATAGCCATGCAGTCGGCCTTTACACACAGCAGTGAAAGAATGGGTCTATAGAGGTCACTGAATTCCAGCGTGGTGCTGTAATATGAGCCACCGTTACAACAAGTCAGTTCATGAAATCTCTTCCCTCCTAAATATTCCACCATCAACTGTAAGTGGAATTATTGAAAAGTGGAAGCGTTTAGGAACCACAGCAGCTCAGACACGAAGTGTCAGACCACGTAAAGTTACAGAGCTCAAACCTCCTCTGGCATCATCAGCACAGAAACTGAGCCGGGAGCTTCATAGCAGGGTTTCCATGGCTGAGCAGCTGCATGCAGGCCTTACATCACCCAGCACAATGCCAAGCGTCAGATGGAGTGGAGTAAAGCGCCGCCACTGGACTCTGGAGCAGTGGAAACGTATTCTGTGGAGTGACCAATCAGCTTCTCTATCTGTCAGTCTGATGGACGAGTCTGGGTTTGGCGAATGCCAGGAGAACGTTACCTGCCTGACTGCACTGTGCCAACTGTAAAGTTTGGTGGAGGAGGGATACTTTACCAAACTGTTCTCAACTTTGTCGAACAGTTTGGGGAAGAACCTGTTCTGTTCCAGCATCACTGAGCCTCAGAGCACAGAGCAGCTCCATAAAGTCATGGCTGGGTGAGTTTGGTGTGGAGGAACTTGACTGGCCCTCACAGAGCCCTGACCTCAACCCCATCAAACACCTTTGGGATGAACTAGAATGGAGACTGTGAGCCAGACCCTCTCGCCCAACATCAGTGTCTGACCTCACAAATGCTCTTCTGGGTGAATGGGCAGAAATTCCCACAGACTCTCCAACATCTTGTAGAAGCTTCCCAGAAGAGTGGAAGCTGTTAGAGCTGCAAAGGAGGACCAACTCCATATTAATGCCTATGATTTAGAATGGGATTCATAAAAGGTCCTGTAGGTGTGATGTGTAGGTGTCCCAATACTTTTGTCCATATAGCGTATCAATGACGACTTTCTACTGTACAAAATAACTGTGTTACCACGGAGATAGAAATACACTGTGTAAGGTTCCTTAAGGCCATGAACTATCTCAGTGTACAGCTACCTTGGTGGTGTTGGGCTGCAGGACGTGTAGCTGATAGACGACCAGGCAGAGTTTGCTGAGGTTAATGTAGAAATTGACCATCACGTCGCCGGGCATCGGGGGGGTGAACATTTTCTGAGGACAGAAAAAGACGACGCCACAGAGGAAGTCAGTTAAACTGATTAAAAATCTGCTGCAAGTGGGCAAACAAAGGCTCTGACGTACCATCAGGCCGCTGGAGGCGAGTTCAGGTAGAGTCAGAGTGGCCGGAGTGGTCAAACGGTTACGCGCTCGGGTCAGCTGCAGCATCACCGCGTCCATCAGCTACAACACAAAACAAAACCTCCATTACAAACACATAGAAAACCTCCGTGCTGTCAAACTCACACAGATTCCTCCCACATGTAGTTTTAGTTTTAGCACTGGAGCTACAAGGTTAATGTAACACAATTAGCACGTTAATCAATTCCACTGTTTTTCCCCAATATTTTTGCATAATTAATGGTTAAAGGGGAATTCCACCAAATTTTCAATCAAATCAATCAAAATTCCTGCGTAATTCAGTGTAGGAACCAGGGGTCGCCATGACTACAACACAAATATAGACATTTCATTTACTATCCAGAACCACCAGTGAACCTACATGAGTCTTCTGAGTTTATATGGAATGTTGATGATGGAAAATAGTGGAAAAACATAAGAAATAATAAGTAAATTATAAATGGGGACTATTTGGCCTCACAACGCCTTGTATATATCCTGGTTCCTATCACCACCGCTGTAAAGAAATTTCACACCAAACCGCTCTGAATCAGTCTGTTTACATCTTAAACACTGAATTATGTAGAAAATTTGAAATATTGGTGGGATTCTCCTTTAAGTAATCTCTAATAGACTTGATTACGTGGCTTCTGACACTGTTATCTATACACATGGACTAAAGTATATTAGCATAACTAAAAACAGTGGCAGCTTCAGGAAGCCTGAATATTATCTGCACTTTATGTACTTTAGTCCTTGTTTATAGATAACAGTAAAAGCCAAAGCAGTAAAAAAAAAAAAAAAAAACAGTTAAAGCCAAAATAGGCGCTTGGGTTGGAAGAGTGTCCATAGTAAAAATACATAATAATAAAGAGATAAAGGAAGAAAATAAGGCAAAAGCTTTGATGTAACTACACTGGAATGTTTCATCCTTTGGAGGTAAAATACTTTTTTATTTTAAAAATTATAAATAATTCCTAAAACAGTTTCAGTCTCAAAGACAAGACTCTGCCAGGATGAGACAGAGAGGAGGTTTCTAAAACACTCAGCCACTCTAACACAAGGTCAGTCTGCCCTGTGGAACACTGCTGACCAACCTTATTGACCTCGGCTCCGGTTTTAAAGTGGTAACTCTCGTCGCGGCTGCTGAGCAGCTGCAGGGCCTGATTTACATGGTTCCTCGCGTCCTGGATCTGAAAACAAACAGAAGGGATTTCAGCAGGAATGCTAAACGTACCATGATGCGAAAAACATGAAACATTAAAGAGCCAAGTTCAGAATCAATGAGTGTGAATAAAAATAATAACAGCTCCACTCGATCAATTCCAACTTTATTAATTTACATTCGTCACCACTTTTTACTACAGAATTCCTCAAAGCCCTATTTGTATTGTCAATGTTTAATTAATGTACTTCAGTATATACGATAATATATATTAATATACTTTAGATGACAGTAAAAGCCCACCTGCTGTAATTTCCACTGTTTATCATCCCGGAATGTAAAATGCATGACTTGACTGCTTTTAGCAACTTTAATGTTGATATCCTGCAAATATATGACAGTGATACAGTCAGTGTTTTATTAATATATGATAAAGAAAAACACAGATTTTTCAAAATCATTTAATTATGCAGAGAATTAAGATGTAAACAGAGTCGTTCAGAGTAGTTCGGTGTGAAACGCTCTGTTCTAGAGAAACTTACTGAATTAGAACTGTTCACAGTGGTGGTGATAGGAACCAGACGTCCACCTCTAAAAGCTCCCTCACAGAAAGTTACTACATGACATGGTTATGAATTCACTGCCTGATGACTGAGACACTGTTTTATGATAGTTTTGAGAAGTCATAATGGCGGAGAGACACAGGCAGAAAATAAATGTCTATATTTGTGTTGTAGTCATGGCGACCCCTGGGTTCCTATCACCACCACTGTAAAGACATCTGAACCATTTCACACCAAACCACTCTGAATCTCTCTGTTTACATCTCACACACTGAGTTACGCAGGAATTTTGAAAATTTGGTGGAGTTCCCCTTTTAAAAGCAAATAATGGTTCAGCAGTGATGATGAGTAAAATATTCAGTTGAATCTGTTGCAAAACATCCTTGTAATGTTGCACTCAGCAGTAACGGGAGCAGTCCTGCTCTAGTAGGAGGAAGTTAATGGCTAATGCTGCCAGTGGTCAGCATCATTGAAAAACACACGTCACATGGTTACGCAACACTTACAGCCTGAGTCAAAGCCTCTCCCTGCAGAGTCAGGACACCTTTGACCTGGTCCATGCTGAAGAAAACAGAACACATGACTGTTACACTGCTTGTGTAGGATTAAAGGGCCCATATCCTACATTTTCTTGCCCTTTATTGATGTTTTCCTGAGGCCCACTTACGATATCTGTACCAAACACAGTCATAATATGACCATTTCCAGCCTTTTATCCCTTAGAATTAAACAGAAATAAAGAAATAAAGACAAAAGCTTTGATGTAGCTACACTGGAATGTGTTTAATTTAAGTAAAAATACATTTGTATATTAACAATTATACACTGATCAGGCACAACATTCTGACCACCTCCTTGTTTCTACACTCATTGTCCATTTTATCAGCTCCACTTACTACATAGGTGCACTTTGTAGTTCTACAGTTACAGACTGTAGTCCATCTGTTTCTCTGATACTTTGTTAGCCCCCTTTTACCCTGTTCTTCAGTGGTCAGGACCCCCATGGACCCTCACAGAGCAGGTACTATTTGGGTGGTGGATCATTCTCAGCACTGCAGTAACACTGACGTGGTGGTGGTGTGTTAGTGTGTGTTGCGCTGGTACGAGTGGATCAGACACAGCAGTGCTGCTGGAGTTTTTAAATACTGTGTCCACTCACTGTCCACTCTATTAGACACTCCTACCTTGTTAGTCCACCTTGTAGATGTAAAGTCAGAGACGATAGCTCATCTGCTGCTGCACAGTTTGTGTTGGTCATCCTCCAGTCCTTCATCAGTGCCCACAGGACGCTGCCCACAGGACGCTGTTGGCTGGATATTTTTGGTTGGTGGACTATTCTCAGTCCAGCAGCGACACTGAGGTGTTTAAAAACTCCAGCAGCACTGCTGTGTCTGATTCACTCAGACCAGCACAACACACACTAACACACCGCCACCACGTCAGTGTTACTGCAGTGCTGAGAATGATCCCACCACCCAAATAGTACCTGCTCTGTGAGGGTCCATGGGGGTCCTGACCACTGAAGAACAGGGTAAAAGGGGGCTAACAAAGTATCAGAGAAACAGATGGACTACAGTCTGTAACTGTAGAACTACAAAGTGCACCTATATAGTAAGTGGAGCTGATAAAATGGACAATGAGCGTAGAAACAAGGAGGTGGTCAGAATGTTACACCTGTGTATAAAGAATGTGCTAAAAACAGATACAGTCTCAAGGACGAGAGTCTGCTAGGATGAGACACAAAAAATTAAAGATTAAAGGGCCCGTATCCTACATTGTCTTGCCCTTAATTTATGTTTCCCAGAGGTCCACTTATGAAATTTCTACCAAAAAGCCATATTTAGTTTTCCATAACCATTTTCCAGCCTCTCTTTATCCCTCAGACATAAACAGTCTGTTTTTGTTACCGTACCTTTAAGACTTGAGTATGCAAATGAGCTCTGTTTTGATTGGCTGCCATGTACTGTGCCTTATAACAAAATTATAAAAAAAAGCAATGTGTGCTGAAACACTCCTTATAACTTCAGCATGAATGGGTGGAGCTGAATAGGCCGGTATATGTAAATATACTGTTTTTTTGTGACATCACAAATACAATAAATTCCAAAATGGGCTGTTTTACCATATATGGACTGTGTGGACTAGAGGGATAATGGTATGTTTACACACTACATCAAACAAGAGATCTAAAATTCATTTTTAATGATACGAGCCCTTTGATTTTAATCTGCACAGGTCGTTCCTTCACCATGATCCAAGTGATTTCAATATGTGTTCCATTATTTTTTGACCTTGAACTCACCTTACCCTGTCTAACTCCTATGATAAAGCTATTTTCATCTTTCTTTCTCTCTTCCTCTCTCCTTTTATCCAGTTTTATCACATTATATTTGAATTCTATTCATTTCTTGCCTTGGAAGCAGTTCAGGACAGATCTAGTCATAATTCTGCACCCTTATTTAGCATTTACTACAGGATACTACACGAATATTACACTTTACTATAACAGCCACTACAGGAATATTATAGAATATAATAGAAGCTACACAGCAGCAGAGAAAGCTTACAGTCTCTCACGGTCATTTTCGGCTCGTATCTGTCTTCGTCTCGGCCAGATCTGCCCTTCGTTTACTTTACAATACAAGCTTTAGTGCAAACAGCTTACGTGGAGCTGCCGAGGATGAAGTTCTCTTGTTTAAGTTGGGCCTCCATGCCTGGAGATGGAACTGCAAACCGCCTCGAGGCTTCCTGAGACGGAAACACACAACATTCGGGACCAGTCCACTGTAATATAAACTCAATTAATATACAAAATAACAAGAAAACACTACCTTCAGTATATCCTGCAGCTGTTTCAACACAGCATGCACCTCCTCTTTTAGGAGCCAGTTAAATTCATCCTCCTGAAAGGCAGAAAGCACGAGATGAAAGTGGGCTTCCCATTCGAATTTCAGTCCATTCAACAAGTCAAGTTTATTCGTACAGCATTTTTCATACACTGCGGTCATTCAAAGTGCTTTAGAGGAGAGAAAATACAAAGATGATTCAGACTAAAATGTAAAAAGATGATTAAAAACATGATAAAATTATAATTAGAAACAATAGATTTAAAAAAGAAGAAATAAACAAAAAAATTAAATAACAAATTAAAAATTGACTTAGTGTAAAAGATCAAATCTATCAATTTTTAACATTTATTATGTATCATTTTCCATTTTTACAGCGGAGCCCTGTAAAACATACATATAAATACATTACAGTGATACAGTAATCACAAATTACAACAAATATAAAATATCTAAATCAATAAAACAACTAGAACAAAGAGAAACACACCTACAACTCTACAAACCCAAACTGCTTAGAAGTATTTCAAACTCACTGAAATGTAAGAGTTGTATTTTCAAGGGTTCTTAGACAAAGGTTCCATACAGAACCATAAACACTCAAAGAACCACGCTTAAATGGTTCTCTGCATGGTGAAATGGTTCTTCAGATCGACAGAGAAAGTTGCAGATGGTTCTATACAGCACCAAAAAGGGTTCTGCTATTGTAACAAGCTTGACATCGTAATAATATCAGAACCCTTTTCGGTGCTACACAGACCCCTTTTCAAAAAGGTTCTACATAGAACCATATACAACACATGCTCCATCAATCTGAAGAACCACTTCACCAAGCAAAGAACCATTTAAGCATTTAAGCAAATGGTTCTCTGAGTGTTCATGGTTCTATACAGAACCACTGTCTTTATTAAAAAAAGAACCATCTTTTTTAGAGAACTCATCATTCATTTGCTCTGTGAGGAAAGATGTAATACAGAACGGAAGCTGTTTAAAAATGTACACAAGTGAAAATCAGCTTCTTACTGGAATTTCACGTTCCACCTTAAACGGTGCAACAGTTTCATTCTGGAGCCCGAGGCGACAGAGCGGAGCTGCTGCACCATTTAAGGTGGAACGGAAAATTCGAACAAGAAGCTGTGGAAATGGAAACGAAATGTTGTTTATCAGGGAGAAATCGGAACCTTAACAGCAGTACATGCACACCCCTGCTCGGCAGCCCGCAGATGATGGTTTAAAAGCCTGACTGAGGTGAATATTCACAAATATGAGTCCCGATTTTTCACAGTAAACACAGTAAACAGCTCCAATCTCACCAGCACGGCTCTCTCCGCCTGACTCGCCGCCGACATCTTCGATAATTCAGCTAAAGCAGCCCGATCGGCTCCGAGCATCACCGAGCTCTGCAGTGGGGTCCCAAAAATATAATAATAATAAATTAAAACTGAAATTAAACCAGAAAACAGTTTATTTATACACAAGCACTGAGGAGCTGCCTGCTGCTGCTCCCGCCCCCTGCGTCGTTGCGTCACTTCCTTTATGACTGCAAAAATCCTGCAGTAATTTTTATTTATTTATTTATCTATCTATCTATTTATTTATGTTTGTTTAAAATAAAAAATGGAGCATTAGATTACATTCCTCAAAATCATAAATGACAAAAAGAGCTAAACTTTTCATCCAAAATCTGGAGCTTTGCAGTCCCTCAATGTCTGGTTATCACTATGATATCATTTTTGTGTTATTTTAGATGTTTTATTTTACATTTAATGTAGTAGTGATGTGTAATCTTTACGAATAACTGTAGCAATAAAAAAGAGATGACTAAAAAAAATAAATTCTTTAAATTTCTTTATTATAATTTAGCGAATTGCTGAACCTTGTGGTGCATATTATTATTATTATTATTATTATTATTATTATTATTGCAGGTTGATGCTATTACTATTGAACTACTCATTAATCATTGTACAGTACAGCACAAAAGAGGTCACTAACCCATTCAGCATAAAAATCTATCTATCCATTTTTCACAGTTTAATGTATTATTTTAATACAAACACTGAATTATGCTTGTAGACAAAGGTGAGGAACAAAAATCTCAGATAGCGAGCACATATCGGTCCACTGGCTTAAGCTGGTACCCTGCTGACCTGTACGCCACTGCTCGACCACCCATGGACCCCCCAGATTACTGTCCTGCATACAAGGTCTGTGTAGCTTTTAATCTCTTCAAATTCACACAGACTTTTATTTTGAAAAAATATACTAAAACAAATCTATAATTGGCCTAATATAAAATGAGCTGTAGATGTTGTTGCTGACACTGTGCTAGGTTGGTTACAGCTGAATACCAGCTTTATTTATGGTATTAGTGTTAAAATGATTTACTAAACTAAATTCCGAAGGATAAAACAGGAAAGAAATTAAGGGAAAAGAAGTAAATTGGACTGTGAGTGGAAACGAGTGATGAAAAGTGGCGTTTTGTCCAACACTCTGTTTAATCACCAATGGGCCGCCTAGAAAATGCTGAGCAGAGAAGCCAGTGGGCCACCAGTGACCCTCTGTCCTGTTATTATCCAGTATATAGCGTTGCTAGTCCCTATTTTTTGTTTTACATTTTTGTTTTTGAACACCAAAATGTGTAAAACGCAGCACAAGTTAACTATTAGCTATTAGTCTGCCATACATTTGCCCATTTGCCCGTCAGTTAGCAGTTAGCTTACTGCTGCTGTATGTTTGTTTACATGTAATGCAACAGATTTTATGCAAGGTTGGAGGGTCTCAATGTTTAGCACAGTCCGAAAAGGCACACTTTAGGCTGTAGGTAGGTGCTCACTAGCGCCTTCACGAGGACGCGAGGAACACATAGATGCAGACTCAGCGACGCAAAAATCCCATGAGATGCAGACGAGAACCAATCAGAGTGGACGGTTTAGTTCACAGCTGTGGCAGAAATGAAGATATGAGTAAACATAAGATTAAAAATGCATTTGTTTATTAATTTAACTCGTCATTGAGCTGGATTATGCTTACAATCTGAATTCAGACACCAGATAAGCAAATTAGCCCGTTAAAAAATGTTTAAAAAGCACTGAAAAAAGAGGCTGAAATTCACACAAGTCTGTCTGAAAAGTCTCGCGTCCTATAGGTCTGCATGTTGTTGGCTTCACCAAAGTGTTGACTTTGAGAAGGATTTAGGGGTTTTGGGGACGTGACCCAATAAGGTCACTTGCTGTCACTCGGTAGTCATTCACTACATAAGAGACTAGTGGTGGATTTGAGACACAGTTCATGTTCTAATTAACACACCTCCGCTCTGTAAACTGGTACATTAGCGAGTGCACTCATCTAAGAAGTCCTGCTAGTGTAAACTTACCAGGCGTCCAGTACTGGGTGCAGTTACCCAGAGAAAATCTGATATATGGCCATACATGCACATATATCATACATTTAGACATACAGGTATATATGAGAGGGGGTCGAATCTCTGCACCAGGTGACGGGCGGAAGTGGCCGCGATGTGGCCGCGGCCGCTAATAAAAGTGGCCGCGATGTGACCGCTCAGAGGCAGTCGCTAATAAAAATGCAGTGATGTTGCCGCTCAGTGGCGGCTGCTAATAAAAGTGTCGGTATTGTGGCCACGACGTGGCGGCCGCTAATAAAATTATAAAATAATAATCATAATAATAATAATAATAACAATAGTAAAATAAAATAAAATAACTGCTCAATGGTTATATAATAATAATAATAATAATAATAATAATAGTAAAATAAAATAACTGCTCAATGGTGACCGATCTTTATCACAACAGTTTCTAAACAAAATACACTGGGTCTGAGCAGAATGCTAAAAAATTAGCATAGAGACCTTTACAAGGTTCTGCTGGTGTCCAGTGGTCACTAATGGTGTTCTGTGTTTTCCTGATGGGCTGATAACACAGTGTAAAGGACTCTAATGTGATTCCAGGATTAATGTTGTCATAAACACTGCTGACTCTTTGAGCTCCTATAGAGTTTAACCACAGCTTGGTGGAGTTGAGGGAAGAAGTACAGCCTCCGGTTGTTTACATTCATTTTACAGCTTGTTTCAAGCTAATCAGCCAATCAGCTCATGAGCCACATCCATCTACTTTAAGGGAGAAGAACATGTTGATGATGATGAGGGAATCCTGACAGCGGAGGATTAGCCCATACCTATGGAGCCCTGATGATGACATCCTGTATAAATAAAATAATGCGTGGCCACGCCTTATTAACGTGTGGGAATGAGAAGATTAAGTCGTGGCCATGACTTAGTAAGGCATGGGAAAGAGATTACGGCTTACTAATTAGGGGCCACACATTAGGATCTTGTTCCCACACTTTACTAATCATCTCATTCCCACGCCTTACTAAGTCGTGGCCACATATTATTTTTATTTATAGAGGATGTCACCATGGGGGCTCCGTACATACCTAAATATGTATCTGATTCCAGATGACTTTGATGGTTTCCTAATGTGATCTGAAGGTGTCCTACTGAACACTGGAGTGGTCTCTAATGATAACCATTAAGCCGGTTCCCATTAGAAAGCAAAAATCATCAGGTTTTCATCCTAATGGTCTTTTTTCCAGCAGGGAAATGCACAAAGGAATTCTGGGACGTGCTGCTATTCACAAGAATCTTGCTGCCCTCCAGAAGGGTGAACAGTTAGGAGCGCATTAGCGATGGCAGAAAGACTCAGCTAAACAGGCTAAGCTACTTAGAACTGGGGAGCCATCTGTCCATATTTCCCTGGACTGTCCAGGTTTTTGGTTATCTGTTGTCGGGACCAAAGGCTGTCCCCTTTGACCCCAGGCCTCCAATATCCATAATGCTATGAATAAAAAAGAAATCTTTTAATACCAGCTAAACTTTCACTAATAACTGTTTTAAGTTCTTAAAAGATGTCAAAAAGTAAGAGTCTTCAGACGCTGAGTTTGTGGAAGAGGGAAAAAGGCTCCTTCTTTATTCCAGCATCAGGCGGCTCAGAGACCCAACTGCACAAATACAGGGTTCCAAACAGTTTATACCATTTATCTGGGGTGGTTTGATATCCCCCAACGTTACTGCTCAGATTTAGATATTAGCTCATTCTCTACTAGCTCATAGTGCATCTCTTCGTCCATCAGTTTGGTCATCGCACGACGAGCTCACTCCTAAAAACTGGTTTCAACTGTTTTTTTCCAGTCTGCTTTACCTTTAAGGTCAACTTGCCCCTCTCTTCACTGGGTCAGTAGTACACACAGGCCTCTCTGTGAACCCAGGGGCTTTCTAGAGTCTAGAACCTCCTATGCAGACAGACTAAGGCCGACCCTCTGTGAGAGAATTAATATTCTCTGTTAGCCAATACTACCTACTTGGTTATTGATTACAATATCTAATCTATTTGATCACTGATTAAGGGACTATTTATTCAAAATCTCCATCACTGTCCATGAAAAATGTGCCACAAAAAGTCCAGGCATCCAAGAATTTTCATATTGTTGCTGCCCAAAACAAATATCTCCAAAATACTTTACAGATAAGACAAAAATGCCAATAGATTTTATTAAAAGTAATTCTGTAGCTTTTCTTTTGGTCTATTCATCATGAAATTGTCACACAATGCGAAGGACAGCTGAGCCCTAATGATGTAGAAAAATTAAAAAAAACGACAAAAATGGAGATGCATGTTTTTCTTCGGGCAGCGACGATATGTTATTATTTCTTATGAATTTAAAAACTGCTTCTTTTTATCCAGCCAGATCATCTTTATACAAACACAGGTTTGATTAGTTCAGGTTACCCTCAATGCAGGGACGACCGTTTGGACAGTTTAGGCACTGGGCAGCACTTAAACACAGCAACTGAGAAGATTAGGATCTAATCTGTCTGCCTTACGCTGCACTGTAGGCATGGCTATCCGTTATGTGTAAGCATGTATTTTTCTTTTTATAGTGTCTTTCTCTCTCTCTCTCTCCTGGACTCTCCCTTCACAGGTGTACCTGCTCTGTGATCAGTCATGTGAGGAGGACCTCTAACTAATCAGAAGCCTGGCTGGTGTAGGTGGGGGAGGAGCCTACATTTTAAAAGATGGCTGAAGAGAGAGGACTGATCACCTGTGTTGTAGTTTGTGTTGGGAAGTGCTTTAGTTGGTGTTTTACCTGCACACTTTTTAAGTTTGTTTTACAGGTGACTGATTGTAACACCTGGGACTTCAAACAGGTACGAGGGGTGCCTATACATTCTCACAAGGTAGAAATCCACTCTGTCTAGTTCCCTAGGTCAGAGGTCACTGCTACATGTTCCATCCGATTAGGTTTTGTTTTTGTTTTTTTCTTTGGTGCCGTCCACAGTTTGACTCGTCCAGTGTGGTACTAGATATCATAGCATACCTTTCTATTGTGGTTGGTTTGAATAAAATGGCCTCAAAAGCTCTGTTGGCCAGTTCCTCCAGCTTTTAGCCCATCATCACCAGTTCAGTCTTTTTAATGCCACGTTACTGATCCCACAGCGCCTTAGAC